CTGTGGTCTCAGGCTGAGACGGTGAAAGTGAGTGGAATATGAGGGTCTCTGACCTCAGAGGCCAGGGAAGCCCCTCACAAGCCACCTGTCCTGAGACTGCAGGGTGGGCAGTTGAGGGCAAGTGCATCCATCCTCACTCTGGCCTGTCGCTGTCTACTCCACAGTATCTCCGAGTGGGGACTCTGAGGCCCGCATTAGCATCACCCAGGGGATGGTTAAACATGCAGACTGTGGCTTCTGCTCTAGCTGGAACCAGGAGCCTGAGAGCTGGACCTGCATTCCAGAATGTTCCTGAAGCAACGACCTCCCTGTGTGCACCCTCCTCCAGCCTGAGTAACCTTCGGGTGTGAGTGTGCTTCCTGTCCTGTTTTGTCTGTGCCTTTCCCCAGCCCAGGCAGGGAGTTTTGCCCAGCGGGGGCTGAATGGTTCTCTGTCCCCGGGGCCCTGGCACAGGGCTGGGCTCAGCAAGAAAAGACCCTGGTGAGTGGGTGAATGGCGGATATGTTGAAAGATTGCATCATGTCTGGGGCAGGCAGTCTGTCGTTTGCTTCACCCCTCCCTAAAATAAACAGATATGATTTTAATCTCATGACAAGCCCTCAGGTAGACGCTGGAATCCGATTTTATAGACACAGAAACTGAGGCTGACGTTGGCGGTAATGAGGATGCTGGGAATGGGGCTCGCGCTGCCTGGCCCCCAGCACTGCTCTTATCCATGACCCCCACTGCACGTGCCTGCATGTCCTCAGAATCCAGTCTCCAGGTACCGAGCTGTGGCTGGACAGTCTGCCACGGCTCCTGGGGTCCCCTTGTCCCTGCTGGATTTGGGATGCTGGCAGCCCTGTATCCGTGTGGCCCTCACCCTCGGCCTAGTCTGCCAGCGCTCCTGCCCTCTGCCCTGACTGCCCTTCTGTTGGGGGCCTTGGTGCCAAGCCTGCTGTCTCCCTCCCTGCCCATCAGGCCTCTGTCCTGGACTTCCCACCGTCACTGACCAACCGTCAGGGACCCCAGCCCTGGCTGGCCGACTTTCTGAAATACTGAGGCCAGCAGGAGCCCCTGTCACCGGAGTTGCCGAGAATCTTCGGACTCTGGACCCGCACTGCGCCTGGGGCTTTTCTGCCCCCATGCCCAGCCTGCTCTGTTTGTTCCCCCAGCAGACTCTGCTTCTGGTGCCGCTGGAGCCTGGACCAGGTCTGCAGCGAGGGCCCAGGTTGTCCCTGCTCCCCTCTGGATTTGTGTGTGGAGCAGCTTCCCTCCTCCAGATAATGGAGAGCTGGCCCTGGAGGCGCGCTGGAGGCCCTGGGGAAACGCGGGGCTCTCGCTTTGGTGCCACTAGGAAAGAGGCTGCTACTGGGGGTCACCTGAATCTTCCCTGCCACAGATGCTGGAGCGCCCCACCAGTGCGCCTCTCCCCTCCCCTCCTCCTCCGCCTCTTCCTTGGGGCCCGCTCTGCCCAAGCCCTCTCCTGCTCCTACAGTTGCCTCCACCTCTCCCAGCAACGTGAATGGGGTGGACTATTTCACCCTGGCTGCTGGCATTGTTTCCAGCCACATTCTGGCCTGGGGCACAACACCCCACCCTTCTCCTTGAATCTCTTCCCACCTTCTTCACTCCATGTTCCTTCATTCAACCCAGGGAGGGGCTGCTGCCTGGACCTTCCATCAGTCAGAGCTGTTTTTCACTCCCAGAAACACCAACTTTGAAATGTTGCTACCGTGGCTCATTCATTCATCCACATACACTTGACATTTGTGGAACATCTTCTGTGAGCTGGGCACTGGGAATACAGGTCCGTGGGGTGGATGGTCCATCTCTGCCCCTCACTCCCTCTCGCCCTGCGTGTCACCAGCCTCCAGCCCCGACAGCACCAGAGCAACTGCCTCTCCTCCTCCCAGCCTCTACCTTGACTTCAATCTTTGCCCATTTGTTCTCCCTACCTCCAGCCCCACAGCCTTCACCAATGCTGTCCCCTTTTCCTCTGATGCCCCACTCTCCATCTCCATAGGGCCAAGACATTTCTACCCTTCCAGGTCTTGTTCCAGGGCCACCTCCTTCAGCCAGTGTTATGGGCTGACTGTCCCCCCTTCCCCTCAACAAATTCACATGTTGAAGTCCTAATCCCCAATACCTCAGAATGGGACCACATTTAGAGATAACATCTTTATTTATTTTATTTTTTTTAATTTTTTTATTTTTTGTTTATTGCAGTAACATTGGTTTATAACATTGTATAAATTTCAGGTGTACATTGTTATACTTCTATTTCTGCCTGGATTACATCATGTTCTCATGTTCACCACCCAAATGCTAATTACAATCCATCACCACACACATGTGCCTAATTTTCCCTTTCGCCCTCCTCCCTCCCCTCTTCCTCTCTGGTAACCACCAATCCAATCTCTGTCTCTATGTGTTTGTTTGTTGTTGTTATTATCTACTACTTAATGAGTGAGATCATACGGTATTTGACCTTCTCCCTCTGACTTATTTCACTTTGCATAATATGTCCAATGTCCATCCATGTTGTCACAAATGGCTGGATTTCATCGTTTCTTATGGCTGAGTAGTATTCCATTGTGTATATATACCACATCTTATTTATCCATTCATCCCTTGATGGGCACTTAGGTTGCTTCCAAGTCTTGACTATCGTGAATAACACTGCAATGAACACAGGGGTGCATGTATCTTTACACATTGGTGTTTTCATGTTCTTTGCACAAATACTCAGCAGTGGAATAGCTGGATCGTATGGTAGTTCTATCCTTAATTTTTTGAGGAGTCTCCATACTGTTTTCCATAGTGGCTGCACCAGTTTGCACTGCCACCAGCAGTGTATGAGAGTTCCCTTCTCTCCACATCCTCTCCAACACTTGTTGTTTCCTGTCTCAGGGATAACATCTTCAAAGAGGTAATTAAGGTAAAATGAGGTCACTAGGGTGGGCCCTAATCCAATATGACTGGTGTCCTTATAAGAAGAGGAGATTAGGACACGGACACACACAGAGGGAAGATGATGTGAAGACATAGGGAGAAGACAGCCATCAACAAGCCAAGGAGAGAGGCCTCAGAAGAAACCAACCCTGCTGACACCTTGATCTCGGACTTCTACCCTCCAGGATCGTGAGGAAACGTTAAGTCCCCAGCCTGTGGTCCTTCGTTATGGCGGCCCTAGCAAATGGATATGGCCAGAACGTCACCTATGCCTTCTCTTGGGAGTGAGATGTCTCTCCTTTAGCCCTTCTACCTCACTTCACATTTGTTTGCACAGACATCTTAGCCCCAAACCCCAGAAACCAGCCCCGCCTCCATCCCGCCATTTTCCCTATGATATGAGGGAGCAATTGGCAGTGGTCAGGAAATGCTTGTGAATGAATGAGCCTCAGACAGTCTTTGGGCCAGCAGACTTTTCAGCCCTGGGTAAATGCTTGAATCATCTTTTGAAACCTGACAGCAAGCCCAGCCTTGATATTTATGACCCTACTTCTCGGCCTTCCTGGGCAGTGATGCTCTCTGCTCTTCAATTTATGGTCCTCCGGTGCAGCCCCAGACTGACTAGGGGATTGCAGATGGGCTGTCTGCTAATCGCGCACGCAGACAGTGCAGGAGGTGGCGTGATCCTTCGCCCCGGGGTCAGATGTGTGCCCTCTCACCCAGGGAGGGCTGCTCTGGACCTCGGAAGCGTCTCCTCCTCCATCTTCTCCTCTGCAAAGACCTCGAAGTTTACAATTAGATCCTAACTGCCCTCACTCACTATTGTTGACGTAGCTCACACATACACCTTTACTTTCTTCATATTTATCTCTAAATTGATTCACTGCCCCCTGGAGGCCAGTGACCCAGGCCATAAGACACTGAGTCCATTTTCTTGCCATCCCCAGGCCTGAGCTCAATTGGAGAGGACACCCCTCAGGGCCTCTGCAGGGCTTGGCAAAGTATGGGAAGGATTAGTGTTTCCAAAGGAGAAATCTCGGGGAGGGGAGTTGAAGCTAAGGAGCTTCACCACCCCAAACCCTCATGCGCCCACCTCAGCTTGATCTCATTGCAGAGGCAGTTGAACTTCCCTTCAGAGAATCCTGAAAGACTGGGGTGGGGGAAGACGTTAGAGTGAGGGTGATGCCTTCAACGCCCAAGGACTGAACCGAGAGTGACCCAGGCACCAGAAGGTACTAGAATTCCTCAGAGGAGCTCACCACCCACCTGCCATGTATTTTCAGAAGAAGAACAATAGTCACATAGCAGTCCAGATTCTCCCAGGATGAGCTCCAGCTCAACATCAGCACATGGACTGGGGCCCTTGACCTCCTTGTAAAGATGGGCGCCCCGGGAAGAGCTTGCCACACCCAAGCCTGACCGGGACCCAGCGTCTGCTGTGGGGTGCAGAGACAGGGGCAGGCACACCCAGGAGAGTGTGTGCCCCCAGACTGACTTCCCTACACCTGCAACGGGCAGCCATCACGCCCGCATCCTGTGCCTCAGTCACAGAGGCTGGCATCCTGAGCGTGGCCTCCCACTCCCCATCAGCCCCTACACAGCAGGCAGGCAAGACCAGGAGAGGAGCCAGACTCCTCAGAGGGAGACAGGAGGGGCTGGAAACACTCTGAGGGTGGGCTGTGCTTCCTGGGGCTTCCTGCCTTTCTAAGTATGGAGATGCAAATACCTGAGTGGAAAGGGTGGCAATTTTAAACTCAAGAGCCTTGCATTTGGAAAACAGTTGTTTTAATAAAATAAAGACAATACAATATTTCCCATTAGTTTCCACTAAGTGACCCAATTTTTTTCAGTGCAATAAGCCCTTTGAAAAGGTGAGTCGTGTGATTTCGTGTGCAGGTTGGCATCAACGAGTCACAGTTCCCAGTATGCTGCTCACAGGCCCCGATATAGGCTCGTATCCGTTTTACAGAAGCGCATCCTTGTGCAATCCAAGGCCAGAGTTCCATGGGCCATGGAGAGGGCTCAGGAGGTGGCTCTGATGGCCAGCAGCCCCGTCCTCAGGAACCTTTCCTTCACGCCCAGGCACTGCCTCAGCCCACATTCTGCCCCGCGCTCCTGGCCCTCAGGGCACACACTGCTATGCCAGAGCCTCCACTGTCTCTTTCTTCCTATCCTTCTGCAGACCAGCAGAATATCCTCCCCTTCTCATCGCCGACCAGGAGTTTGGTCTGGTTTCTTGAGAAGAGAAAGAATAGACAGGAGTTAGTGGCAAGCCTGTGAGTGCACGTATCCCAGCAGGCACTCAGAAAATTGATACATGCCACCCTCCCCGAGCAGCAGCACCTGGCCTCCACCTGAAACAGGAGGAGGGAGTGAGAGAACTGGGGAATGTTTGGACCTTGTGGGGAACTTTTGAACTATGAGGGTTGTGGCTCCCACAGCACTGAGGGGAAGCTCCAAGCCTGGGCTCCAGGGAGCTGGGTGAGGCCCTGACTTTTTCTCTCCAGCATCTCCAGGCGCCTCCTGGCCTGTGAGAGATGCAGCCAGGCCCCCAGGCAGACGAATGGCAGGTTCTCCAGCAAAGACTTAGGGCTCTGGCCTTTCTGTCCCTATCCCCACGCCCCACCCTACCTCAGCCTGGCATCTAGAACACCATGTGCTTCCCACCACCACGGACCCTGAGTGGCCCACTCCAGAGCAAGGAAGGAGGAAGGAAAGCGGCTCTCGACGGTCCGCAGCCTCTGAGACTACACTGCCTAGTGTGTGGAACGGGTTAATGGTCGTCAGTACCACCACTGGTAATCGTGAAGAATAAAATAATGCCCGTCAAGTGCCATATCTGACACTGGGCTCTTCTACATGGGCTTAGAGCCCTCAGGAGGCGTTTTCTGTAACGTAGGATAATTATCACACCAAATGTCACCATCAGCAGTGGACCTCAGGAAAAACGTCCCTCTTTAGGATAAAATTACAAGGCAATATACTTTTTTTTTACCTTTTGGATTTCTTTATGAATTCATGGATATTCGAGAGAGAGAGCAAGGATATATGCATGTTAAAAAACAATTCCTAGGGCCCTACACTGCCACCTTGCCTGCACCCTGTGTGTGGTGGGCCCTCCCGGGGCCTGTGGTGGTGAGGCCACCTCCCAGGGCAAGAGCCGCTGGAACATTCCTAGAGGTGGCCACAGCGCCCTCTGCTGGAGGCCTGGAGAAGCCAGCCGTGGTTACCTGGACACGGCCAGAGCTGTCACCGCAGGGCTGGTCTTGCTGGGCTTCCCTGTCAAAGCCACGCTGACATCCAGCTCTCTGCACAGGGCAAGGTTCTTCTCCCACCTGTGCCCTGTGGGGATCGTGTGCAAGAACAGTTAGAAAACCCGAGTGGCTTCACACACGTGCACGTGGACGTCCACACACAGGACCACGAACACATAGACACATATTTATATTTGTGGTCAGCAACTTGTTAAATTGAGGGGGAAATATATTTAATCTTGGCCTGTGCTGTTGCAAAAAGGGCCGTCCCAATTTAATTTGTAGGCTGTGATAGTTACATGTGCTGACGTGCTGCGGTATCCATTGTGTACCAAATTGGATTTGTGTATTATTGCTTTCTAAATTGCATGCCTAGTTCAGCAAAATTGTTCATCAGTGTTTACTGGCTGTATGCTTAATAAGATGCCCCACAATACCTTGCTGCCAGGATGTAATGCAGCCCGTAATTGCCTAGTAAAAATAAATTACATAAAGTTGGCATTATCAACTTATCTAAATCCTCTCACGCTGCAGCCAATAATTAAATGCTGAGAATGTTTTTTCAAAAAATATAACTCAATAATTGTTACTTCACTCATTTTAATGACTGCATTTGGGGACAGACAGTAATTCCTTCAACGTGGAGGGTGAGATGGAGAGACATCAGCTGGGTACGTCTCTGCAAAGTCACGTTGTTGGAGTCAGGGCAGGAATGACAGAGCTGCCCCAGCTGTCCCAGGGCGGCCAACTCTGTCTGCAGACAGGCCTGTGCACAAGGAAAAGCACGTGCATTGTGTGTTTGTGGAACAGTCCAGACAACAAGTGCTTCTCTTTATATACCAGATTGAGTCCAAGTCTATGAGGTGATTCCTCAAATAAATTGTACTCAACTGGGTTGCTTCTGCTGCAAATGACAAATAAATGAATTCCAGGCAGAATTTAGATTACATGTGCAGACAAATGCAGTGTCCTTTATATCTTCAAAAATCTCCTCTTCTGCTCCTTAAGATATTTGAGGGATAGAGCAATACATACACCAAGAGGACACACTCAAATATCCATGTGTCATGGCCAGTACTGGTCCCTTTCCAACAAACCAGTTTGGGGCAATATTAGGAGAACAACAAGACCTCCAGTGGTTAGGTTTCTAAATCTACACATGGATTTGCTACCTCTGAACTGTGGCCCAGCCTGATTTTTATGTATATATCTCTGCCTTCATGTCCTTTCATCCTAATCCTCCCAAGAACTGTAACCACAACCCTGGCAGTTAATACTACAGGGCAGTGGTGACCTCAGGTCAGGACAAACAGCAGGGGAAGGGTGTGGACCTGGGGCTCCTGTCGGCCTGAAACCATCTTGAAATTTCCCTAATGTCATCAGCCAGTGTACTGGGGAGAAGTCTCCCAGAAGTCTGAGAAAATGACAGTAATGACCTGCATTTTGTTGAGTACTTTCTTGTCTATATCTATTATTTTTTCGTCACTAGCTCTCTACAAGTTAGGGTGTACAAGAATTTGACAGATGGGGAAACTGAGGGCCAGAGAAGTTGCTGGGGACAGAGCTGGGTCAAGTTTCCTGCTTTTTATCTCAGTTCTCATCTCAGTAGCCCCCATTACCAGTGAACACAACCTCACCACAACCATTGATCCTAAGTAGACACCCGTGAATCCACTGGCACTTCCAGAATGAATGGGATGGCTCTGAGGTGTCCTTTGTTCGTCTGTCCCTCCATCCACCCACCCACCCATCTAGCCAGCGTTCTTGCTCGACATCCATTTGTTAAGCATGGGCTGAGCTAACGCCTTTAGCTTTTTGGACCTCAATAGCTTCAGAAGTGGGCAGTTGGGCCCAAGACTGACACGGCGTGCCTTCATGCAGGTGTACCAGAGAATCAGCTCATAAGCAGGCTGGAGAATCAGAGCCCTGTGCTAGCTCTCCTCCAGGGGGTTGGGGGTGGGGAAGGAGTTTGGCCCCTGCTCTCTGAAGAAGTGCCGTGAGTTCCTCAGAATGCACAGGCCTCATCTGTCTTCCTTTTTACACTGAAATGGGCTGCTCGATCCCAAAGGACTCCAGAGATACGATGACCTGTGAACTGAGCATGGCTATAGATCCTTGTGAGGCCACCATGCTGGGTCAGCCCAAATTGTTGATGAGGACTCCTGCATGGTGTTATCTTGAAGACAGAGATTCCTATGCAGAGCCTAGGACCTAGCAGGGGCTGAGCCAATGTCTGTGTACGCTGTGTGAATGAAGAATCACGAATTGGTGACTAAATAAATCAAGGAGGTGGGGAGTACACTTTAGAAACGAACTAAGTGAAAATGGCTCCTCTTTTCAGAGGGCAGCCCTCAGCAATCTAGAAACTTCTCTCCTGTGGATAATCATGGGTCTTGGCATAAAGAGAAAACCAGAAGGGCCAAGATGACAGGAGAATTCTCACTTCATAGTAACATGTTTCCTTTAATCATGGGCACCAAGAAAGATGTCTCAGTTCTGGGCCAGAATCTTGCATGAAGACAGAGCTGAGACAGGTTGGCTGCATTGGAGGAGGTGATGGTGTGGCTATTGGGAGGTGAGAAGAGAAGGAGGCATAGCTTTGATGGTGACGTTTGTGCCTGTGCTCATCACGGATGGGGTGGTCTGGTGGTGGTGGTGACAGTGATTACATGGCAGTATCTGTGGTTGAGGTCGCGTCTACTCTGGTGGCAGAAGTGAGAATGATCGTAGTAATATGCTTCTGGCTAACTTTGGGTGAGTTACTGAACTTCTCTCTGCACCAGTTTCCTCACCTCTCACGTGGGTGTCATAGTACTATCCACCTCACGAGGTTGCCATGAGAAATAAGAGAACGCATGGAAAGTGTGCACAACAGAAACTGCTTATGGTCAGCTCTCTCCCTTGCAGCTCTGTGATGGTGGCCATGGTGATGGTGCCACTGGTCGTGATGGCAGAAAGCAGAACAGATTTTCTTACTTAAGTCCCATCTGCCACAACCCAGAGAGGGCTTTGCTCCAGAAGAGTGGTTCTCTGACTTGGTGCACACTGAGACTCACCTGGGGACTTGTTAGACATGGAAATTCTAACAACCTCCAATCTTTCCCAGGGATTGGGGTGAGAACAGAACTCAGATCTACATTTTTGATAAGCCTCCTGGGCAATGCTGATGCTGATGACCCTCAGACCCACTCTGAGGAACTCGCCATAGGGTGCCTGGAGGGTTGAGCCAGAATCAACAGGGCAGGCTGAGGGCCTGTGGAACCACTTCCCCTCCCCAGGGATACAGCAAGGCCCTTCCCCGTTCCTGTCTGCAGCCTGGCTGTCCAGGCAAGTGGCCAGCTGAACCAGGCCCTGGGCTGGGGAGTTTGGCATCCAAGATTCATCCAGTCAGATGAAGAGCATCAAACCAAGCTCTGCGAGGCGTGTCCCCCTCCTGCAGCTCAGGAGCCCCTGACAACCACCCCCACCACTGTTCACACAGCCAGGGAGCACCCCAGAGCCAGCTGGTTCCTGCAGGACGAGGCCGGAATTCAACAGGGCTTCTCTATACTGCTTCAAATTCCACTAGCAGCTCGCGTAAACTGCGCTCCAGTCCCCCCAAAACCTGGCAACATCCTGAGATCCTCGATGGCTTCCTTGGGCTCTGCAGGCCTGGGTGGAGCTGCAGCCCTTGGGCCGAGGAGGGGAGGGGAGAGGAGATGGAGAGCTGAGCAAGGCAAGGGCGCCCCACATGCAACCCTAGCCGGGCAGTTACCTCTCAGGCCTGGAGGCTGAGCTGAGGGCTCCTCTGGCACTGCCTGCCCAGGGACAGACATCTTCACTTCCTCAGTCTTCCAAATCTGTCCAGAAAAGAAAAAAATGCCATGGGCTGGGGAAGTGATGTCATCTGCAGGCTTGGTGCCCGTCCCATTCCTTCACACCTGGGGACTCTGAAGGAAGAGGTGGGGCACGGCCCCCTTTCACGTCTGCTGTTAATGTATTCTCATAAAAAGGTTGCTTAGGCTTCAGCTTCCCTTCGCAGAGGTTCAGCGGAGCACGGGTGCAGCCTGGGAGAGCTCACTCCCCAACCCCGTGTCTGGAGTGCATCTCCCCTCAACCCCTTCCCTGCAGGAACGAGACTCAGCAGCCAGTTTATTACCATTTTACTTAGCTCATGTCCTCCCGTCCCTCTGCCACCATCCCCAGGGGCCTCCCTCACCACTCAGCAGCTGGGCCTCCCCGTCCTCTGTGTCTGGCCTCTGGTCCCAAGGCCTGTGGTGAATGCCCTCAAGCTGACCACATTCGGCTCCTCACTTGCTGAGTGTGGATTTTCTGTGGCTGAAGGACGAGGACCAGCCTATGCTGCTGTGGGCTCCACAGCACGCCCAGCACAGCACTGGGCCACCGCAGGAGCTCAGTTTCCGTACCGAACGGATGAGTGCTGAGTGCAGGGAAGACTCCGCTTTGTGCTCTGGGCAGGCCCACGAAGGAAATGCCCCTGCTGCTCAGCCAGCCCAGGCTCCTCTGACTGACCCACTGCATGAACCACGACCCACCAAGCGCAGACCGTCGTGACCTCCTCATGTTCTGGCCCGCCCCGGACACCCTGCCCTCTACAGAGACCATGTGCCCCCTCACAGCCCACAGACGCGGCCTCGTAAGGGGACTTCTCGGGGGGCTTCCTTAGCCTCGTCTCTCCTGTCCACGCACGCTGGCCCCTCAGCCTGCATGGTCTTCCCCATATGCTCTGACTTCTCCTCGTCCTCAGGACTCAGTGGAAATGACACCTCCTCTGATGTCTCTCTGTTGGAAATGAATCCATTCTCCTCGTGGACCCCCACCGTGTTACTCATTCTGCTTCTTAGAGCATCAACTCCATGGTTATTCCGAGACTGTGAGCATGGAGGCCCCTGGAGGGCAAGGCTAAGCTTTAGCCATGCTGGCGCACAGCAAGCTGTCATAAACGCTTGTGGAATTCAGTGGGCATTGTCTTGAATACCTTGTGGCATTCTGTGGACATTTCCTGTCATAAACTGTGGAATTCAAGTGACAGTTTCTGGAGTAAGCCTCTTAATCGTGCCTTATCTTTACTCATTCCTTCATCTTTCCCGTCATCCTCAAAAAATCACCCATATTTTGTTCTTCCCACGCTACTCCACCTCAGTGTTTCCCTCTCCTCCTCTTCTTGGTTTCTTGATGCTCGCCCTCTCCACAGCCCTCCTCAGAGGATCCATGGCACTCTGATTATCCGAATAGTAAGAACCACATACATGTATTTTCTGTTTGTCTTTTCTTCTAGAATACTGAGCATACTGAGGACCAGAGTTTGTTTATCATTAATCTCTGTGTCCCCCATGGCTTGTATGAAGTGCTTGGCACAGAGCCAGAATTCAAGGTGGATGGATGAATGGATGGATAGTTGAAGGAACAAATAGTCAGGTGGATGGATGGATGGGTAGATGGAAGGAGAGATAAATAGAAGGATGGAAGGATGAATAGGTAGAGAGATAAATAGTTGGGTGAGTGAACGGATGAGTGGGTGGATGGATAAATGGATGGACAAGTGGGTGAATAAATGAATGAACGGCCTAAATATCTCTTATTGGCACTGGGCTGTATTACTATGCATTTGGCCATTCAGCTTTCATATCTTGTGACGATAAGTGTTTATTTCATTATATGAGTGTACGTGTCTAAAATTATATATAATTTTATTTATTTATTTACATTTTGTCTGGAAAGAGCCTTGCTTTTGCACTTACTTGCTGTGGGGACCTGGTCTGGAATGGTCTCAAATGCAGCCTACAGATTTGGACCATTGGAGGAAGTGAACAGAATGGAGATGAACACATTTCTTGTACCATGCCCTCATTCTGCCCAAGACACACCTACCCGGACCATGCCGTCTTGACTCCCAGTGATGATAACATGACTTGTGTCCCACGCTGGCCCCTCCGTCACGCAGCAGCAGGTTATGGCTCCTTCTGGGCCCCAGGCTGTGGTGATGCTGGCCAGGGATTGCCCGTTGATGTTCCATAGGGACAAGTGGGCTCCCGCACAGGAGACAATGGTGCCCTGCAGCAGTGAGAGCTGGCTTCACTCCAAGCTGGGCTCACCACCTGCCCATCTGCCACTCGCTCAGCCACTCAGTTTGTACACCCAAGCACCCTTAACCTGCCATCTTCGGAAGACTAACCAAGGTACTCGAAGACCTCCAGACACCCTCTTCTTCCCAGCCGGCTCATAGGTCTGCTGTGTTCTCACACAACTGTAAACTTCTTGCTCTTTTCATACTGCAATCATACCTTTGGATTCTGCTTTTCCTGGCACAAGCTGACTGGTTCACTCTTCGGACTCCTCCCACAATCCTTTCCCTGGCAGTATACTGACTGGCATAGAAGACTCCACCTGGAGACCACCCCTGGCTCTGGACACGGGGCCTACACCTAGCTGGCCAGCCCTGTCCCCATGAAGAAGCTTTGGACGTCACCTAGTGGAGGGCAGAGTACACAAGTTCGAATGACTGCATGTGGCTCATAAAATTGAACACTGTCCCTCCAGAGGGAATTTCTGAGGAGAAATTTCCTCATTGCATCTCCTGAAATGTTTCTATCCAGAGTGTTTGCTTCTCAAGTCCCTGTTTATTTTGTGCCCATGCTCCACTGTCACCAAGGACACGCAGAGCCATCTGCTGCCATGCCTTTGAACCTTGCTCTAACCACAGAAGGGATATAGGGAGCTCCATGCCCCTCCACAGCCCCCTGGGCTGGGCTCCATCATGTCCCTTCCTGAATTGTCTGGTATAGTCTGCCTGAGGCCAGGGACCATGTCTGATACATCTCTGCCCAGCACTCAGCACTTGACCCAGCAGACACTTAGTGAACTCTAATGGCTTCAGGACAAGATGAGTTCAACAAGTTGCTGTCCTATATCAGTTTTTTCTGAGGTCTGGGGACATAATTCCTTATGAGTTTTATGTTGTCCCAGACAGGGCTTAGTGCTTTCCCTTGTATATCCATGCATTCATCCATTCACCCACCATCCATTCATCTATCCTCCATCTACCCATCTACTTATCTACCCACTAATTAACCCAAATATCCATCCACTCACACACCTAACTATTTATCCATCCATCCACCCATCTGCCATCTATCTACTCATTCATCCCTCCATCTGACCATCTATCCATCTACCCATCCATCCATCCACCCATCCGTCCATCCATCCATCCATTCCCCTATCCATCCATCTATTCCCCCACCCATCCCTCCACCTATCTATCCACTCATCCATCCCTCTTCCATTTGCCCATCTAACATTCATCCTGGATTCAGACCTACCTGGAGCACAACTTTCAGCCAAAGTTGGCACCAGGAGGCTCCTCTATCATCTCCTCCTCCTCCTATGAAACCCCATGCCCTATGATGGTGAAGCTGGGAGAAGATCCACACTAATATCTCTCTAACTCTATCTCACACACACACATACACACATTCCTAACAGGCTTATCTTTAACAGCCAGCATGGAAGGACAAGCAGAGGCCGCTCCTTTCCTGCCTTGGAGACCAGAGGCACCTGCTGAGTCAACACCGATTTGCAGTCAACTGGCTGAATTAGTCAGTCACGCCTAGCAGATCCCTCATCAGAGCCAACTTCCTCCCCCAACTCCCTGATGCCCGTGCCAGAACACACACCTTCCACCACCCCACTACCCGGAGGGAGAAAAACAAAGAAGCAAAAAATAAAATCTAGACCCAGATGCTGCACATGTTGATGGCTCCACTCTGTCTGTGTAGAGAAGGCTCCACACATTTGGGGCCCTCTCAACATTCTGGGGTGGCCAGCATCTCTCTGCTCCTGGGTTTTCTCTTGGGCCCCTGACCACCATGTTACCACACATGCTGCCATGCAGGCTCACAGACATGTCGAGGACACAGACATTGAGAAAGAGGGACCTCACCGAGACATCACTGATGGCAATGGCGGATATGCTCTCCCGGTGGGCAGGCAGGCGGGCCACATGGTTGAGGTTGTCCAGGTCCCACAGGATGCACGTGCAGTCTTGGGAGCCACTCACCAGGAGGCTGAAGGTGACTGATGCTGCCAGGCATGTGACAGCCTGTGTGTGTCCATACAAGGCCTAGAGACAGGAGACAGACCCACAGTTATGAGAAGGACCCTTAATCCAGCTACTTGGGGAGATACTCTGCCCTCCCTTTTACTGTTGGACCGCAGATGAGGAAACATAGATTCAGAGTGACTCAGTGATCTGAAAGTCTGTGAGGGGCCGGGTGTGTGTGTGTGTATGTGTATGTGTACACACATGCGTCCACGGCTGGCCTCTCAGTTCCAGTTGTTTCCAGGGTTAAGGCCCAGCTGGGGCGAATCAGTAGTCCTTTTATCACAACTCAAGCGGACCCCAGGAGTACCTTACCCTCTGTAATCCTCCACATTAGTCTTGCATCCTGAAGCAGCACAGACCACCATTAATATGCAAGGGTGCTGATGTGCAACCTGTGGTGTCCCAACCAGCAGCATCAGCATCATCTGGGAACTTGTTAGAAATGCAAATTTGTAGGTCCCATCCCAGACCTACTGCATCAGAAACTCTGGGGGTGAGGCCCCGCAGCCTGGTTTTTCACAAGCCCTCATGCACGCTCAAGTTTGAGCACCACACTAAGGGAACCTCAGAAACACACATGCCCCTGGAAACTAAACTGCGAAAAAGGCCGGGAGGTCAGGTCATAGTTAAGATGTGACTTTTCATGTCCGATGGATCCCGGTTCATATCCCGTCTGGGCACGTGGCAGCGACTGACTCAGGGCCTTGGTCTTGGCTCTTAGGTTGGCCTGTGCAGGGTCTGGCCTGGCTCATGGATGGTTATGTGTCCACATCTGGCCAGAGGCCTTGCTCCCTGGGGACACGTTCCCAAGGGAATGGGGCAGTCTGCCAAGCACACTAGTACCCCAGGCCCACTGCTGCTGGTCACAGTATGCTTTCCATTACAACCATCCCAAAGGCTGCTGGGTAAGCCTGATCTGAGAGCTGCTGTGCACACACGTGCCTGCTGCCCTCTGGAATTGGCTGGAGAAGAGCGGAAGTGGTGTTCTGAAACGCGATTACCCTGACTTACCTAGTGATAAACCTGCACCCTAAGGAGCGTCGACTGCTCACGCATTTGTGTTAATGAGGCTGAGCATCATTTTTCAAAGCTGTCACTTGGCCTGGTCACAGCAATTAAAAGTTTTGCCACGGACTCTAGTTTGTCGTCAATGGATCCTAACATGCACCAACCAGATGTGCTGGCAAGGCTCTGGGCATGATACATGGGAGAAGATTTGGGTCATCTTAGGAAAAGGGAAACTGTCTTCACGAATAGAGAAAAGCGGAGAATTTGACAGGAGCATTCTGGCCGTCTTCCCAGAATGAACAAAGTCTGATGACTAAGTCCTGACCGCTGGGAACACGGCGACTCCAAAGAGTGCAGGCCGGGGGACCTGGGCAAGGGCTGGCATTCAGAGAGAAGCTCGGAGCAGAGCACCTATAATGGAGCCACGTCTGCCGCTCTGCAGAGGAGGCGCTGGAGAGCGAGGGGACCAGCCTGTGTGTGGGCACTGCCCACCTACGTAAGGCTTGTTGCCCCCCACCAGCCCGGAAACTAAAGCACCACAGGCAACCAGCACCCCCAGTCCTTCTGGAAAGACCAGGGAAATCAGGGAAGGAGGACAGTGGTTTTAAACGTGTTCTCCACCAGCTCTTTTGTTTTCTCAAAATAATACCTCTCTACACTGCCAATCAAAATAACTTCACTATGTCATCTTATACCTAACGAAAGTAGGAAAAATAAATAAAGTCAAACAATTCCCCACGCTGGATACGTTGTGGTGAGATGGGTACTCAATTCATTGTTGGTGGCATTGTAAAGCTATGGAACCATTATAGAAAGCATGACGTCACTGCTTCGTAATTCTGCTTCTTGAAATTTATTTTAAGGAGACAATCAGAAGCAAACAGCAATCCATATAAGATGTCTTCCACAGCACTATTTAAAATAGTTAAAACTTGGAAGCAATGTAATTGTCTAGTTTTAGAAGAAATCGTTTATTAAACTGTGGTGCATTGACAACAAACAATTGAAATGTAATTTTATGGCAATGGAATAATATGGAACAATTGAAATGTGAAATATAGAGGCTGTATAAAAGTGGAAACAATTTGATAGGCTGGGTGAAAATAGAATAAACATATCTACACAAGGATCAGAACAGTATAAATATGTATATCTAGGGATGGTATTATGTGACAATGAGAGCTTCTGTACGAATTATAGAGCATTGTTCCACTTGGAAGTAAATTTGAAATTTGTCTTTAATGTTGTAATATCTCTTAAAATAAAACACTTCTAAAGACTATTTATGAAGCTATTTAATGACGACTTCTCTGTCTACAAGTCAGGGATGGATTCCCCTTACTGAGCAGCTGGTGGTCTGGGGATCCCCAAGGCCATGTCAGCCTCTCTAGGCAAATGATAAAGCGCTTTATTTCGCCTAGGAAATAAGAGCATGCGGGATCCCCGTACCTTTTTCTCTTTTAGATTTAGAACTAGGAGAGGATGATAAATTACACTTTTATGCTGTCAATACCAGGGCCTTCACAGTGCATCTTCGCTGCTAAACTGGACCTGGAGCAGAGGCAGGAGGGTCGCTTCCCTGGTTCCCCAAGGCCGGCTCTGGGGCTGGGCTGGATCTCCCACCATCCCTCCAGTGATGCCTGGGGGAGGGGACGCTCCACACTGGCAATGCACAGTCTCTTCACTTAGGGCACAGTCTCTTCACCCAGCCCCCTGACACAGCAGCGGATGGAAGGAGCAAGGAAACCTCCAGAGCAAGAAAGTAAGAACGTGAAAAGGCAGGGAGTTCCAGGGCTGGCTTCGGAGGGTTTCCTTAGAGAGGCCTGGTGAAGGCAGCCTGTACTGGAACCATGTGGCTGCCTCTCAGCAGGTGCCACCACCTCTGCAGGATTAATGGGCTCCCTCAGCACGGACCATTCACTCCCTTAGCTCACGTTCCTGGAGTGCCCACCATGCACTGTGTGCGCCGGTGGGGGGGCTTGAAAAACAGGCAGAGGGACCCATTCTCCGTGCCAGCAAAACCGTCAGTCTAGGAAATCTGGTCAGCGGCGAGTTTCGTTTTTTGTAACTTTGGGGCTATATGGCTAACTACAAAACAGACGCAGAAATGATCTGCATTTCAGAGTTGGACAAGTCCCCTAGTGATATTCTCGGGCAAGTTCCAGCGTACACAGGGGGAAAGCATGAGGTTTAGAGTTAGAGAAACCCAGAATAAAATGCAAACTCGACCTTTCTGAGCCTCAGATTCCTTGTTTGAAAATGGGACTAACAGCACCTGCTTTACAGATTAAAGTTAACGTGCAGAGTCGTAAGCGAGCAGGTAGTGCCGCTCTGCTCACCAGCACGAGCAGCAGTGGCTCGTGAGGAGCCAGAGCGAGTCCTCGGCCTCCCGGGCTGTGTTTGCTCAACTCCCCCGTGACCGCCCCTGTCCTGACAGTCTTTCATCTTCTGGCTCCAGGATGTCAGACAAGTCACTTAACTTCCTTGCACCTGCTTTTTCACTGTAAAGGAGGGATGATAACGGTACCTATTGTATAGGGCTGTGGAGAAGGTAAAATGAGGCTGTCCACAAAAAGTGCCCATGGCAAATGTTCAAAAATGTTCTCCCATGCGAGGACACCAATTTTACTGGCCCTGAAGGGTGAGCGGCATCTCCCACTGAGGTGTGCATCCGTGAAGGCACCTGTCCCGTGTGCTTGCACCCATGGGCATGAAACGGTGCCCCCGAATGACACATAGCCGTGTGCCACCCTAGCACCTCACTGCGTTCTCCACTCCCAAGGGAAGCAGGGCTGTCAGTGCTCAGGGAGTTGGAGCACGCTAGGGCACTGTACCTGCCCGAGGCACCATACCTGTCTCAGGCACCATCCCTGCTGTAGGTACCGTACCTGCTTGAGGTGCAGGCCTCTTGGGCGGCCTTTGGCCATGCTGAGCTCCCACACACACACCACGGCGCTGGCCCCGGAGGTGACGATCATCGTGGGGGATGGGCACACAGCGCACAGACAGTGGCCCCAGGGGGCCAGGTTCTCAAACGTTATCAGGATCTGTGGGACACAAGTGAGATGAGCTCTGGTGCCAGGGCCGGTATGAGGCTGGGAGCCTAGGACGGGGTGACAGAAAGACGGGGGCAGGTCTGGATGCCACTGGCCTGTCCATGTGCCTTGGGAACCAAGGGATGTGTCACTTGTCCAGGACCCTGACCCTGGTGACAAAATACTGGCTATCCAGGCCTGTCCCCAGGGGCTCATACTCTAGCGGGCGGGGAGAGACAAGCAGGCAGGCAGTTATGGGGATGCAGTGAGAACCCCCCGTGAGCACAGTGAGCATCAAGAGGCTGGCAACTCAGCCTGGGGAGGTCAGAGACCTCTGTCAGGAGAGGTGACATCTGGGACCAGTTTCACTGGCTGCCTTATGAGGACGCTGGGGTGAGGTTAGGGAGGGCGAGAGAGAGCTTAGTGGGCAGGGAGTTCATGCCATGTGATGGGGGGAGTGGGAGGGGAGCGAGGGTAGGAAAGGAGGCTGGGAGGTGGCCAGGGCCACATCAAGAAGGCGAGATGACTGGATGGCCTGAAGCAGGGATGGAGGACACGTGACCAGACAGCTTGCTTCTGTCACCAGTTGGATGCTCAGTGTGTGTCCTCTGAGTCTAAGCTGTGACTGGGGCCGGAGGAACCCCAGGACTTCCCACCCAGACTGATTGAGAGGCTAGGAGGGCTTGATGTAGCCAAGTGACCAGCCAGCGGCAGAGACCACTGTGGAGATGACAGCGCACATCCCTAACTTGCAAGATCCACTCCTTGGAATGTGGGCTGGAGGCTTGGTCCATGGGGGCCCTTGGCACAGTCGCTCGAACACTCTCACTCTTAGGCTGGGGGCACAGCCACGTGGAGGAAGTGGGGCGTGGGTGGCTATGCCACCTTTGGGCTCGCCCATCACCTCTGCCCCAACCAGAAGGAGGCCAAGGCCTCACGGCCTCCCTGCTGGCCTGTGCCCACTCACCTTGTCAGAGCCATAGTTCCCGAGGCAGCAGCTGAGGTCGTCGAAGCCCCAGCTGAAGGTCCTGTTCCAGAGAGGGGGCAGCAGCACCTTGTTCTTCTCCACGGCCAGGATGCTCTTCTCGGTAGGGACGATGTGGCCGATGGCTCCTTTGGGAGATTCTGAGCCTAGAGAGAAAAGGTACATATCTGCTCCCCAGTCAGTATGGTGGGGCTCACACGTCAAAGGACAACACCCATTTTAGCTGGGCCCAGAGAGGAGCCATGGGCGGGCAACCCGGACTCCACAAAGCATACGGCTGGGCAGGAGCCGCTTACCAAGGCACCTTCCTCCCAGGCCTCATTCCAGGAACCAAGGCAGACTCTGGCCCTGAGCCGGGTCCCCGGGCCCTCGGTTCCTCCCCTGACTTAGCACGTACATTAAGTGTCTCTTAAGAGCTGATGCTGGGGGAGGAGCCAAGGTTATCCAGGCAGACGGCACAAAGCCATGGGAACCTAGGGGTTCTGCCCTTCCTGCCCTCCCGGGGACCATATCTAGCAGGGCTGGGTGGGACAAGGACGCTGCTCTCGGACCTCAAAGGAAAAAACCCCAGCAAACCCAACTTGATACTCCTCCTACAACTCCAGAATGCTGTTCCAGGTAGTGCGATATCCCAAAAGCAGTGCATGCCCCAGGGCAGCACAGACGTCAGACCTCACACACACACACACACACACACACACACGCGCGCACACGGCTTCTCTAATGAGCCGCAGGGCAGGGACACACGTCCAAGCCATCTGCCCCAGGGCACATGCTCGTGGCTAGTGGCTGTCTGGGAGCTTAGGAGCAACAGTGTCTGCAGGTACCGAGGAGAGGAGGCTGCAACCCTCCCTCGGGAAACCTGGGACTTCCCCACTCGACTCTGGAGGCGGGGAGAGTCGTGTGTGTGCATGAAAGAGAGCGAGAGGTATGCGAGTGTGTGTGTGTGTGTGTACATGGAAGAGAGACAGAGGAGTGTGTGTCTCTGACAGACAGACAGAAGGACAGGCGGGCCTTCAGAAGTCAGGGTCTAACGGAGGAGGTCCTGGACACTTCCAGAGCAGAGGCCTCCCCAGATTCCTGCTGTGACTGGAGACACAGCCATCCCAAGTCAGACCCCCAGACCCTGCCCAGGTCTGTGCCCCTGAACCTCCCGAGGAACGCCAGTGACTGAAGGGACGACTCTGGGACAGGGCACCAAACAAAGCAGGGCCAGGTAGTCACCTTTGACTGTGACCTGGGAGGGCTTCAGTGACTGCAGGCTGTAGAAAAAGGGCTGCGAGTGGCCAGGCAGGCTCACAGGTGTGGAGACATCCTTCCCAGGTGAAGGCTTCCCTCCGGCAGTCCTGGCCGGGTGCGGTTTCGTAAAGAGCTGGAGAGGCAAGGGGACAGATGCACACCGCACAGGTCAGTAGGGAAGATGGTCAGAGAAGCTGTGCCCTGCAAGTCACAGCTGCACCTCCGCTCTGGGTGCTGCCTGGGCCAGGCTAGCTCCTGACCAAAGTAAGCATAAACAGAACCATCTAATTCAACACTAGGGTGTTGCAGATGAGGGGCCTGGGGCTCGGAGAGGGGCAGCTACCTTCTCAAGGTCACAGTGTGGGGCTGGCAGAGGTAGCCCTCCTGGCTGCCAAATCTGTCTTCTTCTTCAAGCTGCTTGGGAAGAGGATGACCTCACCAAGGAGCCCCTGGTCCCCAGCTGAGCTGCCTATCATATCATGGGGTCAGAATGGCCCTCTTCCCTCTCTAGATCACATCTCTCTCTTCATGTGCTTGAGCTAGTTCTCATATTTTTTTCCTTTCCCTTCCAAACTCTCTGCAGGCACATCCATCTGTCCATCCACACAGAATTCTTTAATAGCATCCATTCGAATATTGCAAAGAGCACAGGCAAACTCCATTAGTGGTTTTTCTTATTTTCATTTTTCTTAGATCTCTACTGCCAAACTGTCCCTAATGCCAAACTTTTTGCATAACCATTCAAAGCATGAAGAGCAAGGCCGTGCTGCCTGGCAGGATCCTTGCTGCTGGGCCAGAGAGTGCAGCCGAGGCCAGCTCCAGCTCTCCACCCTCCCCTCCCTGACAGGCTTATGCTGGCTGGGCTGTTTTCTCCAGCCATGAGGCACATTCCTCTGCTCCTAAAAGGAATCATCCCCTGGGTGCCACGATGGAGGGGAGCTGGGCTCCGCTGGGCACATGGGCAGAGGCGGGGCTCGGCGGGCAGCCGGGGGAGTCTCAGAGCAGCCTTGGCTCAGTTACAGCCTTCCATCAGATGCTGGACAATCTAGTACAGCCTGGTGGGTGGTCAATACAAACAGAAATCAGAACGATGATTTTTAAGTGACCATTAAATAACTTTCTTCCTTGCATAGTGGAATGACTGAAGCCTCCACAGGCTGAGTCCCTGTAACAGCCTGAGCAGGCACAGCCCCTTCATGGAACAGTGCACAGTCCTGAAGCATTTTCATCTTACCTTTAGGCTGGGACCACTTGAAGATTTCTAATTCTGAAGATCATTTAGAAATATTTTTTAAAAGCTCATGTGATACATCATTAACTAAAATCAGAATCTAAAACTGTGTGCACTCCATTATCACACTCATGTGACAATATTTTTGCTTGTGGACAAGGACTGTGAGTCTATAACACAGGACACAGTTGGATGGTGGGGGCTACTACCTTGAGTTACTTAATTGCTTTATCTGTATTACTGTATTTCTTATATTAAAGAAATGAAACCATAAGGCTACGCAAGCTTCTTTCCTGAAATCCTCTCCTTTCTAGCAAGCCCTCCCTGGCCAAACCCACATTTGGATGCGCCACCCATTCTCCAAGTCCCCCTCAGGCCCTTCCACATTCCCCTCACCCGGGAGCTGAGCGAACCCCAGCATGTCATGTAAGGCCAGGCAGAAAAGATGTTATTAGATTTGCACTGACTGTGAGATGAGCCCCTCCCAGCCTCATGGTTACATGTGGAGAAGGCTGTTGCCCAGGACGGTCCTGGAATTGGCTGGGTTTATGCGCTCGTTTCTCAGCTTGACTCCTGACTGCCCAGGCTGGGACCCCAGCCAGCAGAGCCATGCTTCTGAACCCTGCTGGCTGTGTTTGGGAAGAAAATCTCTCTACACTGAACTGAAGTTTGGGGATTAGCAGGGCTGGGATCAGTTATATAAGTGCCTGGCTCTCTTGCACACCATTCATCAGGATGTCAACATGATCGCACAGTGTCGCATTGCTACATGACTGTCCTGAAGGGGGATGGAGCCAGCAGAGCAAAAGGCCCACGTGAGCCCCCTGCAATTTCACCAGGGGCCCAGAAGGCAGAACTTCAAAGCTCTCATGCTGGTAGAAATACGGAGGAGGCCTGGGAGCAGCCAGGTGGGGCTGGAGCTCTACCCTGTCACCTGCTAATGGTGCAATGGTAGGCAAGTTATTTTTCTAGCCTCTCTGAGCCTCAGGCTCCTGATCTGTAAAAGAATAATTCCTATACACAGAGCTTATGCGAGGATTCAATGAGGTCATCACACTAATAACTAACATTTGTTGAATGCTAATCATATTTCAGGCACTTTCAAGCACTTGATGTCTTAACTCATTGGATCTTCACAACGACCATGTAGGGTAGATACAGACATAAAGCAGTAAATCCTGTGGATTTCACATAGTGTCTATCACATACGTCACAGATGAATGTAGCCTTCACCATGATCATTAACAGTGTCGTCACCTTCATCAACGTCAGTGGTAACTGAGGGTTAAGTCCTGATATGGAAGCCGTAGGAAGAGGACTGGAGACCCTTTTGCCTCTCCAGTCCTCTCTCTTGCTCCTGTTGCAGGAGAAAATGTCCTCCCTCTCTCTCACTCCCAAGCTTACGCTGCACACACTCTTTTGAGAAAGCAAGACAAAGGACATGGCGTGCCGTACCTGTTTGGGCACCTGTCCAAAGTTGCTGACGAACCCCAGGATGGTGTTCCTGATCAGGGGGTCACTGATGCTGCTGAGGTCCATTTTGTCACCGTAGAAGTAGGGGTGGAAGGTATTAACAGCATCGACTGCGGCTGACCCCTGCTGCTTGTACCCAAAAATGAGGTCTATCCAGTGGTGAAGGTTGGCACTGACAAAATCACTTTCCAAAGCCTGGAACCAAAAGCCAAAGAGCATGAAAAATGCAGCCCTTTCATGGACTCCTGTGCTCTCTGCACAGATCAGGAGCGGGCACGTGCATCAGGATGCTGGCTGCACGGGAAAGAGGAGTAATGCCTCCCCGCGCTCAACGAGCACTAAGTGGGCAGACGTGCAGGCCACCCAAGGACCACCCAATTCCTGCCTCCAGCTAGTGGCAAAGCAGATCCGACTGTTCCCACCACCCCAGCTCAGGCACTCCATAAAATAACCATGAGGTTCAGAATATCTATGCCATGCATGTCTGGGAGTGATATCTAAATGGAAGAGAACAAACTGAAAATAAAGTCTTGGGGTCCTGCTGAGATCTGACATACGAGGCGGGAGAGCTGATTCTGACGACAGAAGTCAGGAGGCTGAGACTAGGGTAGCAGTTAGGAGAACATGCTCGGGAGCAGACTGGACCCCAGAGCTGCCACTTATATTCCTTACCATCGCTGTTCCTCAGTTTCTTCATCTGTAAAATGGGGACAATAATTGCACCTTCTTTGCAGGTTTATGTGAGGGTTAGTTTGTGCCCATGCCTGGTGCAAGGCGAGCTCCATGTAGTGCTACATTGAGCACCTACTGGGTGCCAAGCACCATGGTTGGGGTTTTATATGTGTCGTCTCTGCCCATTAACACCACCTTTTGCTGGCAGGTATAATTACCCCACTTCGGGCGCAGGATCCTGTGTGGTTTGTTTGTTTGTTTGTTTGCTTGTTTTGCTGAGGAAGATCTGCCCTGAGCTAACATCTGTGCCAATCTTCCTCTGTTTTGTATGTGGGTCGCCACCACAGCATGGCCACCGATGAGTGGCATAGGTCTCCCCCACCCCACCCAGGAACCAAACCTGGGCCGCTGAAGCAGAGCATGCTGATCTTAACCACTAGGCCACGGGGCTGGCCCCCTGTGTGTTTTTTTAAACCTACCCTCCCAACTCCCAACTTTCAGGTCTCAGAACCACACAGGGGACATCCATCCTCACTGAGCAGATCTCATTTCACTCAAGTACCCGGAAATTATTGATAGCTGGTTGTGGAGCCCTTTCTGAATCATCCCTGGAAGGGAAAGGATAGAATTTGCCTTTGAGGTGCACTCAGTCCCCAGGATGTGAGCGTCCCAGATTGGGACACCTCTGTCCAGCCCGGGGCATGCAGCAGGCAAGAGCACTTCCCACGCACCTAAGGGGCAAGCGTATGACGACCTTGAGGAACGTTCTGTCCATGTGCAAGCTTGCCATCCCTGGGTGGGAGCACAGAAGACGTTCCAGACTCAGCCACGGAGACTTGCTCTCAGTTTACAGCCTCTAAACAGGACCTAAACCTCACCCTACTCAGGAATACAGCTCCCACTGGGAGCCAGCAACATCTGCCTCTAACTGAAGGTGACATCTAAGAGGAAACAAAAAAAAATTTAGCATAGGAGCCCAAGCATGCTTGACCTTTTGTGGATACAGCCCAGATGGATGGCGCTGGCAGAGATTAGGGCACCCAGATTGGCAATATTTCTTAAGAGTTGCCACACATGAGCAAGAGGAAATGTGGGCCAGTGTTTCAACACCCCGGTTCACTTGAGAGATGGCACCCATTTCTGCTGAGCAGAGCCCAACTCCAAAGCTGGGTCCCCAGGACCCAAAGACATTCGTTTGGAATTGTCTGGGCTGCCGTTATTGCTCCTCTGGGAGGACATGCAGCCCTAGACCTGGGCCTGGGGAGGTCAGGTCACCTATGCCAGGTCAGTTTTCTGAGGCATATGGCCACAGTGACTTTTAGGAAGCCACACTGGGGTAATGCCATAGGAGGCGTGATGAAAGGCATAGCTCTCCCAAGCCTACCATTTAGCCTGGAGCACACCGAAGAGCTTTCTGTAGATGTTTGCATGAAAGCACTCATTGGTGACCACATAGCAGAATGGTCACACACTCAAGGAAAGATCACAGGTCAGGATAGCTGACCCTTCCTCTGGGCCTTTTTTCCTACCACTTCATAACCAGCACATTTCCCATATCCTCAAGCTCTTTCTGAGCATCTCTTCCACCTCCTTTCCTTAGATGAAGCCTGGCTCTCCCCTGAGCCTCCAGTGGTGGCTACCTGCTGAATTACACCCCATGTGTCTTGGGGCCAGCAGATGGGATTGGTGCCCTCTTCAATCCTTATTGTCACCTCGAGACCACTGTTCCTCTACCGTCTTGTTAAAAGAACAAAAATCTGTTCCTCTGTGGTTCATGAGATGTAACTTTACCACCCCCATCCTCACTGCTGTCATCTACCAACTTCTCTTCTATTCTCCTCATCTATCAAAGACGGTGACTCCTGGTCATGTGTTCCTTTCTTCTCCAAGATCAGCCATCATCCTCACTGATTTCAATCTCTCATCTCTCAGTTCCTTAAGCTCCACTTCTCCAATGACTTCTGCCTCCACTCCACCTAAAGTCACTCACTCTCAGAGACACACCTTAACCCATGTCAGTATTCATAAGTCCTCTATCTTCAAAATCACGCATCAAACATCCCAGTTGATGAAAGCCACATCTTCACTTTGCTCGTTGTTTAACTACTTCCTGAGACTATTCTTCCACCTTACGAGAACTTCCAGTCCCCTTGCCCCTTTACTTCTTTGCAATCTATCGACACTTTTTTGTCTTCGGTCACATTTTTTTTTCAGTGAGGAAGATTGGCCCTGAGCTAACATCTGTTGCCAATCCTCCTCCTTTGTTTCTTTTTTCTCCCCAGAGCCCCAGTAGATAGCTGTATGTCATAGTTATATATCCTTCTAGTTGCTCTACGTGGGATGCCGCCTCAGCACAGCTTGATGAGCAGTGCGTAGGTCCACGCCCAGGATCCGAACCTGCGACCCCTGGGCCGCCAAAGTAGAACATGCAAACTTAACCACTAAGCCACCAGGCCAGCCCCAGATATAGTTTTATTTAGTTCTTTGAACATATTTACAATTGCTGATTTAAATAAAGTCTTGGTCTAGTAAGCAAAGTTTGGGCTTCCTCAGGCATAGTTTCTATTGACTGCTTTTGTTCCGTTGTTATGTGCCATACTTATTTTTCTTTGCATGCCTCATGATTTTTGTGGAAAACTGGACATTTTAAATAATATGATGTGGCAATTCGGAAATCAGATTCTTCCCTCTCCCCAGGTTTGTTTTTGTTGTTTCTGTTTGTTTAGTGACTTTCCTGAACTAGTTCTGTAAAGTCTGTGTTTTTTGTCATATGTGGCCACTGAAGTCCTTGCTCTGTTAGCTTAATGGTCAGCTAACGATTGGATGAAGATTTCTTTAAATGCCTGGAACCAGTAAGTCTCCCAGTCTTTGCAAAAGGAGTCTATGTGCATGTTGGGGCATGGTTTCAATGTTCAGCAAGGCAGTTCAAAACTCTGCTTCTACCTTCACATTCTGCTTGCACAGAGCTTCAGTGTAAGCCAGAAGTAGGGCAGGGCTAAGGGCCTGTGTAGGTATATCTTGAGCATGAGCACAGCCTTGTGCATGAAAACAGCCCTACAGATGTGTGTCCTTCTAGCTCCCCAGGGATATTTTGAAGTTTTTCAAGATGTCTCATACATATCTCATTCCCCAGTTTTTCTTTTTAATCTTTTTTGTTAGCCTATTGTTTGCCCAATTATTATCCACTGCCTCTGCAGCCACAGTATTAAACAATTGTCTCTGATTGTTTTTGACAAATGCCACTGAAGAAAAGGCTGTTTGCACTGGGCAGACTCTGAGTAATGTTAAATAAAGACAGGCTTGCTGGTGGGGTCTTTCAGAGAACCACTAGGCAGGTCAAATAATGACAGTTCTCTGGGTATGGAGCTTTGAAGGAACTCCAACCCCACTTGGCTGCCTCATTGACTGCCAGGCTGTTGTTTTTCACTGTGATTGTGAGCTGTTGGTTTTCAAGTCTACTGTGGAGCTAGAGAGGAGAAATAGGAATAGTGCAAGTTCAAACTCTACAAATCTTGCTATTCTTACCAGGATTCAGTCATTTTTCTTGAAGGAACATTCTCCTGATTGTTCTAAGCCTTTGGTTAATTTCCAGAGTTCTTACATTTTGTTACAACAATTTTTGCCATTATTCTTATTGCTTTTATGAAGTAGAGGATTTTCAGAGGTTCCTACTCTGACATTTTCACTGATGTCAATAATTAACATCCTAATCCACTCCAATCTAATCTGCACTCCATCAAAAGAGCTCTCCTGGGGCCGGCCCAGTGGCGCAGTGGTTAAGTGTATGCGCTCCGCTTTGGTGGCCCGAGGGTTCACAGGTTCAGATCCTGGGCGTGCACCGATGCACCGCTTGTCAAGCCATGCTGTGGTGGCATCCCATATAAAGTAGAGGAGGATGGGCACACATGTTAGCCCAGGGCCAATCTTCCTCAGCAAAAAAAGAGGAGGATTGGCATCAGATGTTATCTCAGGGCTGATCTTCCTCACACACACACAAAAAAGTGTTCTCCCACTGTTATCAGCACCACCCAGTTTCCCTGGGTCACATCTCTAACCTCCATCTCATGGCACTGCACTTCTCTCTTTTGTAGTACTTTTCCCAGTTACCAGTTTTCCTGTTATTTGTGTGGTTATTTGATCAATCTTCCTCCCCTCTAGACCATCAGCAACTGCCGTCAGCTCAACTGTAGAAGGAGCCTGCTCATTTACCCCAGGCCAAGAACTTTTCTGAGAACACCTAGAGAAAGGGCTGCTGCCACGTGAAAGTCAAGTCCATCTCTGGCTCAAGTACTCAAGACCAGTGGACTATGGGAGGCATGACTGCTGTTATTGAATTTCCAGAGGTGAGGATAAGCCAGGGAAGAATTTTCTCCTTGCCCAGGGAGAAGGACAGAGGAAAAGGCACAGCTTTGTTGTTACTCATCAGGCCTGTCCTAGATGTTTTTTTTTCTTTTTAGGTATAATTTACATCTAATTAAATTCATCCTTTTTAAATATATAGTTCAATATGTTCTGACAAATGCATGCAGTCATGGAACCACCACCATAACCAAGATATAGGACATTTATATCAACTTGAAAATTTCTCCTGTATTCCTTTTCCATCTTCCCCTACTCCAGACCTTACTAATCACTGATTTGTCTTCTGTACCTATAGTTTTACTTTTTCTAGAATGTCACATAAATAGAATCTCATAATATGTAGCTTTGGGTTTGGGCTTCTTTTGCTTAGGATAATGCTTTTCAGATTCATCCATGTTGCTCCATGTATCAATAATCTGTTCCTTTTTATTGCTAAGCAATATTCCACTGTGTGGATGTATCATTTGTTTATCCATTACCAGTTGATGGACATTTGGGTTGTTTTCAGTTTTTGACTCATAGGAATAAAACTGATGAATATTTATGTATACACTTTTCTGTGGACATTTTTCATTTCTTTTGAGTAAATACCTATAAGTGGAATTGCTGTATGGTACGGCAAATGTATCTTCAACTTTATGAGAAACTACCAAGTTTTTTCCAAAGTGGCTGTACCATTTTGCTTTTTCCATTAGCAATGTATGATGAATTCTGGTTGTTCCACATCTTTGCTTACTCTTGGTTTTATCAGAATTTTAAATTTTATCCATTCTTGTAAGTGTGTGGTAGCTTCTCATTGTGGTTTTAATTTATGTTTTCCTGAAGACTAATGATGTTGAACATATTTTCATGTGTTTATGCTAACCCAGGTATTTGATCCAGGATATGTATCCCCAAATGGCCTCTGGCCTCTACCCACATCAGCCTTTCTGGGTAATAAGCCAAGTCCTCCCCAGTCCTGGTATATCCTTTGGCCAGTGAGAGCCCTTCTCTGAGCTATACTGGGCAGTATGGCCCAGGGAGTGGCCCCGCCTGCAGCGTTGGCTAAGGACATTGACTTGCCCCCAATCAACAAGAACCTGAATTTGCTTCCCCCAGTGATTCCAACAACAAACTGGCATAAGAGCAAAGCCTAATGGGGCTCTTGAAAGAGCCCAGAACACGAGCCTTTTCCTGCCAACCTGGGGCACAGAGCCCAGCCCCTTCTCTGGAGTCTCCAGACATGAGAGCCTCAGAAGTGCTTGTCACTAGCCCCCTACTTGGACAGAAAGCCCCCACAGAGACTAAGGGGATGCTGAGGTCCTCCTTCAGGATACCAGGGACCCTGGGGTGACCCTGCTCGACTCACCTGTCTGTGTAGGCTGATGAATTTCCGAGGGTCCCCATCAGCCCAGGGAGGGAGTTGCACGTCCCCCAGCACTGTCCCATCCTGCATGCAGCCTGAATGGGATGAGAAACAGCAGGGCTTTGGGTAAATAGGAGCCCAAATTGGGCTAGGAACCGGGGGGTGTAAACACCGTGCTATCCAGGACTGCCGATCCCGTGCAGATCAGGCTGTGAGCTGCGTCCTGCCTCCTCTGGCTGGAGTGACCCCCACCCTCATCTGCCTGGAAAATTCCTACTTGGGATCTAAGCCTTCGACCTCTCCACGGGGCCCTGCTTGCTTCCCAGGCAGCGTCTGTGCTTGGCTCACAAGTCGTATAAAATGATTGTAGTGTCGGCACTGTTGGTACATCTTCCTCCCCACTACTCTATCCCTTTTCACCGGGGTGCTTTATATCCAGTGCTAAAACAAGAAGGAGATCATAACAAGAACAATAAAAGCTATCATATTTTGAGCACCTAACTCTCTGCCAGGGCACTATGCTGGGTGCCTGGCAAACACTGTCTTACTGACTCTTCATTCAACTCTATAAGTTATGCATTTTCTCCCCAGTTTTAAAGTGAGGATAGCAAGGTTTTAAGAGGGAGCTTCTGCAGACATGAAGAAGAGAAGCCTGGATTCAACCCCGAGTCTCTTTCCTCCCCACTAGCTGCACAGCCTTGACCACGCTGCTTACCCTCTTTCAGGCTCACTTCCCTCACTCTTACCTTTCCGGGCTGGTAGAAGGATTAAAAGAGAAAATACACGTAATGTGCTTAGAATAATTCCAGGCATCTGGGGTTGCTCAATACACATTAGCTATGGTCTTGCTCACAGCGCCCAGAGCCCTGATGGTACAGCTGGCATAAACACTTCCCCTCCTCTCTCTGGCCCACTGGGCTGGGCTGGCATGGCCTTTCTCATTGTTCAGTCTCAGCACCCCTGTCACTTTCTCAGGCAAGTCCTTCCTGGGGACCAGAACAGCACAGGTCCTCTGGGTCACTCTCGAACCATTTTCCCACCTACTTTCCCCACAGGGCTTCTCAGCGGCCAACACTGTTTCACTTCTTTATTTTTCTATATTTTCTGTCTCCTCCCCCATCCCCGCACCGAATATGAACACCTTCAGGGAAATCTGTCCCAGGAGACCCAACTAAATCTTCAGCGCCTACAAAAGCACCTGCATACAGTAGGTGCTTAATAACTCTTGCTGTCCTGACTTCCTTGAGGGCACCTGGTCCTTGGCACGTGCGCCATTTCTGCAGCTGAGCCTCTCCCCTTCTGCTGAGCCCCACTTTCATGTCTGAGGCAGAGATGGGACTCCCTGTCCAGCCCTCCCCTCACCCCTCCCTCAAGCTGGCCACCCGTCTTCTTGGCTTCTGGTCCCTGCCTCCCTCCCTTCACGGGCCACACCACGCCTTGTGGGAACTGCCCTTTGTGCTCGTCGAGTTCTCATCCCTGGTGCACGTGAGGCATCTGAGAACCTGAACACAGCCGAGGCCACCCGGTTCCACGGGATCAGACTCGCTGGGCCTGGGCCTGGGCTTGTTTTAAATGCTCCGCAGGCATCCTGGCTGTGAACCACTGCACAAGAGGGGAGTGCCTGGGGCAGAGGCTGGACCTCCTCATCATCTCCCCTGGGCCCTTACCTGGCCTGGCTCAAGGTGCATGCCCCTTAGTGCTGTTTGGAGGAAGAAGGGGCCTGAGGAAGGGGAGCTCTGGGGCACCAGGTGTACACTGGTGATGCCTCATGAGTGTCCTCCACAGAGCAGACGATTCCCTGCCCTGCCTCTGGGTGGAGAGATGCCCATGCGCTGCCCCAGGCTCTGACCACACGAGTTGCCCTGACATTTGCAGTGGAGGCTCCCGAGGTACACACACAGTCACCAGGGGACCTGCCCACTGGGGCCTCCTGAAATTTTTGTTCTTCCTGTAAAGCAGTAGATAAGACAACACGGCTCATCCTGGGGTGGAGCCTGAAGCACAGGAAAGAGGAGGAGCCAACAAGGGTGCCCACGAAATTGCCCACGGACACCACCCAGCAGTCTGTCCTGGGAGACACAGCATCTCTAGGTCCCACTCATGGAGTCCGGGTTAACCCATTCATGGGACATGAAGGAAAATGGGGCCAGAGAAGGGCAAGTGTTTGCCCAAGGTATGCAGCAGGGCAGTGCCAGACCTGGCTATTAGCAAGGGCTCCTGCTCCCTGGCCGCTGCCTCACTGCAGACTGCAGCCTGGGGACCCTCAGAAGAAGGGTTATGGGTGGGACCCTGGCTCTGAGCTGTCCTGGCAGCCTGGGGCCCAGCATCCTTCCTCAGCTCCCACCTTTTCATTGGCTGTTGCCACCCAGTGGAGGCCTCACACCAACCACACTGGTCCGGTGAGGGGCCTGTTTGTTCAGTTGCTCAGCAAAGATACTGCTACAGTCCACACTGAGTTGCTGCAGGAAACAGCCCTGCACTGCCCGGCCCAGCCAGCCTCGCCCAGGCCTCCACTCACCGAACTCCACCGCGTTGCAGTTGGTTAGGAACTCAGGCAGGTAGAAGAACTCCGGGGTTAGCTCCCTGACGTCACTCATGTTCTCTCTGGAGGCTGACTCCCATGCATTCTTCATGCTGTGGAACATTCTATCTGCCACATCGAAGCTCCCACCCTGTGAGGAAAAGGGGCCGACATGCTCAGAGGCATGTGGTGAGAACTCAGGCTGTGCAGGCACTGCTTGTGTGGCCCCCGTTCGTCTGCTGTAACTGAGGCATGGTTCTGACATTAGAACTTCTCACTCACTCCCACACACATGTCCATTCGTCAGGCCATGCATGTGTGAGAAGGTTTCTTTGTGCATCTGTTCCCTCAACCATTCTCTGGAAACTTGCACTGGGAGGTTGCACAGATCCACTATAATAAAGAGATCCATGTTTCCTTGTTTTGGAAATCTGGGGTCAGATAAGAGACAGGAAAACCATTCATTTGTCTGGCCATTCCCCACATTTGCCGAGGGCCAGCTCTGAATCAGGTACAAAGACAGGATACAAAGAACCAACCAGAGGACAAAGAGTGGATCAGATGCTATACACGGAGGTCAGGGGACATTTCCTGGAGAAGTTGACCTCTGGTGTGTCAGCAAGCTTGGTGGCAGAGAAGATGCAGAGTGTTCTGAGCAGAGGGCAAGGCCTCAGCCAGGAACAGAGGTGGAGGAAAGCAGATTAGGTCAGGGCCCTGGTGACATCTAACACAGCAGCCTTGACAAGAGAGAATGGGCCTGAAGATGGAGAGCTGGAGGCACACCAGCCTTCAAGGGATGGGAGGCTGGTACATGAAGACAAGATGTCTACAGCGCCCACCAGGGCCAGCCTTGGTTGCAAGGCCCATGTCCACAGGTGGCTTGATGAAGTCTCAAGCTTGGTAGCTGGGATTGGACCAGGTTAGACTTAAGGCAAACTCTTTCCTTGGATTGTCTGTTCCTCTCTGAATTGTCAGTCTCTTCAGTTGATGCTATCCTTATTTATCAGGTAGTCTTGGGGGTCAGGAGGAGGCAGAGAGGTCCCAGTTGGAGGAATGAAGATGCTGAGGGCAGAGGGGCTTCCAGAAAGAGTTTCTGAAACTGGGATTTGGGTTGACTTAAGTTTAGGGACACCCAAGGGGTGCTCTCCTTCCTGGGATCTGATAGTTCACTTGTCCCTATCAAGGCTGGGCCTTTGTTTGACCAGAACTTGCCTTCCTTCTGCCAACTTCTAGAGAGTACAAATGTGGCCTCAAGAACGAAGGGGTAGGACCCAGAGTGTCAGTGCCCTCCTCTGCCCCATCAACACCCTTCACTTTTCAGAGGGCTGAGGTCTCCCATCTGCGTTTACTGAGGAAGCTTAGGGCAGCTGCACAGTGGAGGAAGGGTTAAGAAGGACAAGAAACTTCTCTTGGCAGGTCTACTCTAGGTAAGCACTTCATACATACATAGATGCTCTCTCTTAGTCCTCGCAGCAGGTGCATTAGGAAGCAATGGGTACTTCCATTTTGCAGACCAGAAAACTGAGGCTCCACGAAGTTTACTGATTTTCCCAAGGCAACGAATGGCGGAACTGGGGTCCCACTCGTGGATGCATCTCCAAAGGGTATGCTTTGCTCTCGTGACGGTTGACTGGGGGATCTCTGGGTCTGGGCAAAAGATCTACTGTGTGGGGGCCAAGGGGACTCGGCTCTTTCTGAGAAGGGAGAACCTGCCACATGCCTGAGGCTGGCCACACTTGGGCACCCCGGCGGGCTGGTCAATTTTCCAAGTCAGACTTGAGGATCCAGGGAGATCCATGGGTCATTCTCTACACAGGGAGAGGGGCACCAAGAGACCCAGTTATCCCTGAGGGTGCCGCCAAACACAGTACAGGGGTGGCTTAAAGATGTGGCTTTTCTCCAAGGTCACTTTGCTCTTGGTTGAAATTAGGGGATGACGTCCACCATCAAATCCAAATGGAAATGGAAATAAAATGGAGGGAGAGTGTTTCTAAATAAATCTGCACCTAACGAGTCGCTCATTGAAACGTATTAAGAGCTTTGCGTATTTAATCTGCAGCCGAGCCTTCCATCCGTGGGAGATGGATGTCTCCCCCTTGGCCTGTTTTCCTTTTGCAGCTTTTATGAATGCTGATGGTAATCTCCTGAGAAACAATATGATTTGGTAATAAAAAGATTACCTGTATTAAATAAAAATAATATATACATAGGAAATATTGTTAGTGCTACAAATCTGGTTAAAGATATTACCACAAAGAAAAATGTTATTTTTTTCACAGCTGTCTAATGCATTTTAGCAAAAGTAATATCTTTAAAACTTAAGCCTGTATTATTTATAAAGGAAGCAATAACTGATTTTCCTATTTCCTACATTAATAAATGTATTTGCATATATTCGCTTCAGAATTAATGGGTTTTCTCACTGCTGCAATACGAAAGGAACGCTGAATCCCCTAGAAGAAAAAGGGAAGCTGCTCTGTTACTTGGATTGTAAGTCTGTGGGTCAATGCAACTCTGGTGGCTGCCAGCAATGAGTCAGGACTTGATTCTTAGGAAAGGAAGAAAGGAGAAAAGGAAGAGAAGACAGAAGGGAGAAAGGGAGAGGAGGAGCGAGGCTGAGAGGCACAATTGAGGTTGACCGAGCACCTCCATAAGCAAAGTCCAAAACAAAATAAAATAAAACAACAACAAAATTAATTCTAGAGATTGGATGGAAACAAAATGATCAGAGAGACTTACTAAACCAAGATCTGCTCCTAAATCTATCCTGCAGATATTTTCAAATATCAACAATAATGAATCTTACGTGTATTCAGACAGACCAAAAAAGAAAAATAATAGCAAGGTTAGTATCATCAAAAAAGGAACCATGTCTTATTAGCAGAAGACTTTTCCCGTGTGACATTAAAGCCAGAGACAAGGGAGCCAAGGCTGGAGGTTTCTGAGACAAAAGGTCACAGTCTGTGGATTCTATGCCCAGCTAAGACATTGCTCTGTGTGGCTGTGATGCTGAAAGCTATGCCACCAAGATTTCAAACACCAACAGGGTCACCCATGGTGGGCAGGTTTCAGTGGAGCTTCCAGACTGACAGACTAGGAAGAAGGGCCTGGCCACTCACTTTCAAAAAAACTGGCCATGAAAACCCTATGAATAGCAGTAGAACACTGTCTGACACAGCGCTGGAGGGTGAGAGGATGGTGCAAAAAAGACAGGCAGGGCTCTGCTCTGTTGTACACAGTGTTGCTGGGAGGCAGAACTGACTCAGAGGCACTAACAGCAAAGACAGTGCTCGTATACAAAGATGCCAGAAAGATATTTTGAATATTTAAGGCCTCAGAAGCAATGTAACACTAGGTATTCTTCTTCAATTAAAATACTTTGAGGTGCTCAATTTTGCTAAAAGATGAATGAAAATTAAAAGCAAAATACCAGGGGAAAAATTGGCCCACAAGGACTGCTGTTGGACATTGGCGTGAGTTGAATCAGAGAAAAGTTCATAATTATGGTACGTTGATTAAAACCGGAAACATCCTTGAAAGGAGTGTTCTGTATTAAAGGCACTGTCCCTTTTGTTGAGGACACTGAGTCTACGTGCACCTGTGTCCCTGGAGAAACATTCCAACTGCACATGCTTAAACCCCTCCCCAAAACGGGTAAGGAAACTATGTTGTAAAGAAAACCCATTCAATCTTGACCCGCACCCACAGGAAGTTCAGAAACTGCATGAGCTCAAGGACATTTGAACACACATATTTTTACAGTAAGTGCTACAAAGTCTATTCTTCCTTCCCGGTGGACTGACCCAAATCAACCCACCACCACATCCGGACAATGGACTTGTTTTACGAGTTCTCATGGCAGATGTTCTTTCCAGTAATGTAAAGGTATACACGTAAACAACTCACTCACAGGGCCCTGTCAGTGCAGCAGCTGACCCCAGCTGTGCCTCGAGACAGGGAAGCCCCTTAGCTTTGAAACCAAGCCCACCTGGGCGGGAATTTCACTACCCACTTGCTGTATGAACTCAAGTGAGTTTCTTAATCTCTTTAACCTCCCACGCCCTCCTCTGCAAACCTTGGACGACTGTTGTGGGTGTGAAAGCAGTAATGTGTGTGAGAGTGTGTGGGTGAGAGTGTGGGTGAGTGTGAGTGTCAGTGTGTGTGTGAGAATGTGGGTGAGTGAGTATGGGTGAGTGTGAGTCTCAGAGTGTGTGTGAGAATGTGGGTGAGTGTGAGAGTATGGGTGAGTGTGAGTGTGAGAGAGTGTGTGTGTGAATGTGGGTGAGAGTGAGAGTGTGGGTGAGTGTGAGAGTATGGGTGAGCATGAGTCTCAGAGTGTGTGTGAGAATGTGGGTGAGTGTGAGAGTATGGGTGAGTGTGAGTGTGAGAGAGTGTGTGTGTGAATGTGGGTGAGAGTGAGAGTGTGGGTGAGTGTGAGAGTATGGGTGAGCGTGCAGGTGTGGGAGTGAACGTGAGAGTGTGTGTGAGGTACCAGGCGCACAGGAAGAGGTACGGAACAAGCCCTGCCTCTTTCCCTTCACAGACTATTAACCCAGCAGCAATGCCGGGCTTGAGCCCCAATCTCAGTGTGCATGGGGAAGGTAACCAGGGGATCAAAACAAGAACAAGAAAAAGGATTTAGAAGTTATGGGAGGTGAAAGGTGGCCTATGGGGGAATGAGGAGGGGAGGTCCTGGGACAGGGCGGGAGGGGAATCTCAAGTGCACCGTCAGGGCAGTTTTGAGGCAACATCACCCCCAAAGAAGAGCAGGGGCAGATGTGTGCAGGTGACAGCACGTTGGCTCGGCGCCTACAGTCTTCCTCAGAAAAACGCCAGGCTCCTTACCCTGCTCCGGAAGCTGAGAGCTGTGGTCCAACACTGGGTTTGGGAAGCCCACATACAGTTCAGCCGCCTCATCAGTCTTGCTCTTGCTTGAGGATGGGGTGACCCAGAGTAGCCATTAACTTTCCCTCCTGCAGGACGTGGCCTTTTACTCGACAAATAAAATCCACAAAGGCATTTTGAAAAGCATGCTGTCTACTCTTAAGTGGAGGAGAATGGACATGTGTGGAGCTCTTAGAAACAGCCAAACAGTTCTCATGCTGTATGTATCTGACTTAATCCTCCCACCCACTGAGTCAGGGGTTATTTTAAAGGAGGAGGAACTGAGGCTCAGTTATTCCACACTACCAGTTAGAAAGTTCTAGAACCAGGACTTTGTCCCAGGTCTGCCTGACTCTATTACATGTGCCTTTTCTAATACTCCTTATTGGGTCAGTATAATAACAATTACACCTTTATTTTGGACATGACTCCACCGGGACCCAGGGGCTGGCATCCACGGAGCTGCCAGGTGAACAGCCTGGGCAGGCCAATTACTGCCCACGGTTCTCTCTGCAGTTAGCATATGTCTTCCACAAACACCAGCCATCTCACCTCAGGTGGTTCAGAAAACCCTTCCCTGCTGTTGCTAACAGCTGACTTCACATGGGCTGTGACTTCATTAACACAGCACTTGATTTCAGTTCCTTATTAAATGCAGCAGCAGCAGCACCACCACCGTGCCCTCGCTGGGGCGCTGGCTGCCTTGCTCTGTCCTGCACAGACAGGGTCTGACATCAACTGAGAGCAACTCGTGTTCTTACTGGGGCAGAAACAGGGGCCTGGGCTGTGGCCCCAGCAGCGGCGTGACCTCCTGGTTAGTCAACTGTATGAAGGCTCATGTATCTCAGCTCCTCCAGGCAGGTGAGATTCCTGAGAATTACAGCATCCTGGGGGACAAGCCCCTGCTCCAGCAGACAGTAGTCTCACACCTCCAAGGGAATGGGGACAACAGAGCACACAGCCCACTCATGTGTCACCTGCTCAGGTCACACTGTACATATACCATATCTTCTGGATTGTAAGAGTCTGTCATTGTAATAACAGATTTGGGGCAAACAAATGCACACAGCAACAATAGAGGTATGGATCAATTCTAAGACAAGCTCAAACTTAATAAGATTTAAACGTGAAGGGAATAAAGCACACCTTACACCCAGGAATCAGAATATGTTGCACTGCAATTCTTAGGCTGTGGTGAGATCCCCTCACACTGTCCACATCTCTCTGCATGGTGCCCAGCTGGCAGGCCATAATGTCCAAAGGATGCTGTACCTGCCTCTCAACAGTGCATCAGACCACGCTGGGTGCACCGCACAGGCACACAGCTCTCCACACCAAAGGTGATTCCATGGCCAAGCCATCGAGCAAGCACGTCACTCTGGCTTATTCACGCTAATAGGCAAGAGGCAGTCTGCTTAATGCAGGCGGAAAGCGTGCCCTTTCTGATGCTGACTGTTGTATGCACACTTGGCTCTGGAAATACTCCATATTCTCACTTTGCTGCTCTCCAGATAAATGAAGAAGGCCTCACTGCCCAGATTCTACCCCCTCTCCACTCTTGTTATTCTTCCCCACTCCATGATCCACGCTGGGGATGGAAGTCTCAGGCTGTTGAGAATATGGTAAGGGTCCTTTCCTTGTCACCATGGGGGTGTGAAGCAAAGGTCTCTGGAGGAGAAATAAGCCTGCCTCCTAGGAGGCAGGGCAGGACGGAGGGAAGAGCCTGACTTCAGGAAGATGCCAGAACATTCTTAAGGAGGACTGCAAGGCCCCAGGACTCCCAAAGGGAGCCAAGCACATTCCCTCCAGATGTAGTCTTTGTATCTATTCCCTTGAGAGCTAAAATTCACCTTTTACTCTAAGGAAAAAGCAGAAGACAGTGGGTTCTTCTGCTGGTTCCAAAGCTTGGACTAGTTATGACCCACTAGAAGAGTCAGTTAAAAGGAGGACGGTGAAACCAATTCAGAAGCACACACATGGGGAGCCCAAATGATTTCATCTCAGTTGGGCCAATATGGCACAGATAGATTAGAACCTGCAAAAAACTGGAAATCACAGCAGACTTGAACACAGGAGTCAAAAGGTTGAGGCTAATGTGACTGTGTTTGTGTCTCTAAAAGCAAATAAATTGGCTCTGACCATCTCACCCTAGTTTAGACCATCTCACACCAGTTTGGTCTGGTCACCAATGGATCAAACTGGCTAAAATAAGCTCAAACTAGTAGTGACTAGCTTCAAAGTAGCCTTAACCCAATGTCCTCGTGGGTTCGCAAGGACTGATCACCTGCGTAGTGTCAAGCCCCGAGCTAGGGTCTTTACCCCCATTTTCTCATTTAATCACAACAGCCGGTGAGATATGCATAATTAACCCTCATTTCCAGAGGTAAAGTAACTTGCAGAAGATTTTGTATCTATTACGTGGCAGAGCTGGGATGTAAACCCCGTAGCCGGCACTGTTTCTATTTCACTCCGCCCCCTCTCGGTGTGAGAGGACCCTTGGTGACCGGTAGAGAAGGGGCTGTAATGCATTAGACTGGAGGGCAAGGGGAACTGTGAAAGCATCCAGAAGTCCCTGGGAGGGAAGCTGTAAGGGAAAGCATCACCCTCCGCGTCAACAGTGGTCATCATGTCTGTGGATTAATGAGCAACAGCTGGATGGGGTTCCTGGCATGGGCAACAGCTCTGGGGCTGTTCGTTCTCCAAACCAAACTTACTTAAAATACTTGTTGCCTGAGAAAAGCTCCGGGGAAGCATGCTTATTATTTTTGAGTGAATTTCCAGGGAGAGGGGGTTATACAATGTCTAGACGATCCACGCTGTCAAGGAGAGCGAAGACTGTGCCCAGAAACAGAAGATGGGCAGGTTTTTGCTTCTTACTATAGAAAGCGCCTTGATCTTGGCTCCCCGTTCCTGCCCAGGGCCCAGGAGTTGGCTTTAGTGCTAACCCAGGGTGGCCTTTGGTCTCTCAGGGTCAAGGTCATCTGAGGGACCACAAAGAGTGCCCTTGCAGGTGAGGTCAGACAAAACACAATTTCTGGGACACTCGTGCTTTCCCATTGGTGAGGCTTCGCTGTCAGAGCAAGCCCGTGCATGTCCAGTGGCCTGTGACCCAGCACGGTCATGCCTCCCTCTCCACAGGACCCTTACAAAGCCTGGGTCGGGTCAGGCCCTAAACTCGGGCCCTGTGGAGTATTTGCTTTGGAGCTGGCTGAGCCAACTGGCTGCAAGTGGGCTACCCAAGGGCTCTCCCACAGCTCTGTCCCAGGCTGTGCCCCTGGGATAACCTGGGAAGCAGGATCCCAGTGATGGGGTCAGAGGGGAGAGAGAAAAAGAACTTAGCTGCCCAGGAGGGACTCTGTCTCAGCAATCCCAAGTGCCCTGGACACCACCACCCACTCAGAGTCAGACTTGCTCACATCCAGCTCAGATAGGGCTGCCAGGTAAAATACAGGAGGCCCAAGTAAATTTGAATTTCAGGTAAACAACAAATAATTTTTTAGTACAAATCATTGTTTATCAGAAATTCAAATTTACCTGGGCCTTCTGTATTTTTATTTGTGAAATCTGGCAACCCCAAGCAGGCATGATGGTCTGTTAGCTTATGGGTAGGTAAGTTGGTTAGTTTCTTTCTCTGGTTTAGCTGTTCATTTCAGCATTCAAGTATTGTGTTTGTCCTTTTAAGCTTTTTGGCTTGTATTTAGCATAGCTTTATGTGTTCCCATGTCACAAGTGATTTTCATTCTTCCTTCTTTGTGTTTATTTTTCTAATCTTTGACCACCCACCTTCAAGGAAGTCTTCAAGCTTCCTGCTTGTCCTTTCCCACTAAAACCTATTTATGCTAAGTATTTTTTTTCCGTATCTCTCATTCATTCCTGATTTTTTAGAGTCTTTTTGCAAGCCTGTTGGGCAGACGTGCAGGTGTAACTGATGAGGAGCCTCGGCTGGACAACCCAGAATCCTGGAGCCAGCATCAGGTGGGAATCACCAGCAAAAGATTCAGTTTCTAGCAGGGAGGTCCCCACCTATCCAAGCCCAGCTCTTAGTCTGTGAGAATAGCTGTGTGTGTGTCTGTGTGTGTGTGTGTGTGTGTGTGTGCACTTGCACGTAGGGGAGTGGGGGAGCTCACCTGCAGAGAGTAGAAAGCCTGGGTGAAGGGTGGCATCCGGACCAGGTAGGAGGCGACAATGATGGCCGAGGAGTAGTGAGTGCAATAGTGGCACTGGACAGTCAGGTCTCCTGCAACGAAAGGACACCCTGGGGTGGCTTTCCCACCTGTGCTGAGGACACGCAGGTTGTACCACGCTCAAGAACAGCCAAGTGAGCCCCACTTCCGAGAGCACCTGCAGGCTGAGGGATCCCCGGTGTTCTGCTCACAGACGGCACTATAATTTGGCCAAAAGCCACCACTGGTGAAAGCACGTTCAGGACCCTCAGCTGCTGGGCCAGAGGCATAAACTGCTCTATTTTGCTCCACCAGGGTTTGGTGGAGCCAGAACGCTGATGCAGGAGCAATGGCATGGCCAGACCACTCCAGCAGAGAACAGCGATGCTGTCACTTGTGGAGCGTCGTGCACGCTGTGCGCCCTCTGTCACTCTCTGAGTCCACACAGTGACCCCGTGAGTCTGTGCTGTTCAATATCCCCATTTTGTAAACGAAGAAGCCGGAGTGAATCAGAGACTAGCTTACATCAGCAGTGAGTGGCGGAACCGGCGGGCGGCACAGTCAGCAGTGGGCCGAGCCAGCTACCCTGTGTGTCTGCTCGGCCACCTCACCGCCAGCCCCACCGCCAGCCCCACAGCGGGCCCAAAGTCTCCCTCATGCCCTGCAGGAGTTCTCTAAATCAGAGTTGTTCGGGAGGTTGGATGTACTTGGGCAAGGGCCCAAATTCAATGTATGACTCTAATGCACACCCAGGTTAAGATGGGAGAGAATGGTGCCAAATGCCCTGCCTGGGACACAGCTGGTGAGATCTGACGCTCCTCTGGCCTGCGTCTGTGAAAAGGACCCAGCGATGCCTGGTGGCAGCCAGAGAAGAGTACCTGGGGTGGGGACACTTTAGGCTCAGGAGGAGATAAGCTGGTCAAGGAGGGCCTTCCCACCCCTCCCACCTCCTCCTACCTCCTCCCACCTCCTCCCTCCTCCTCCTACCCCTCCCACCTCCTCCCACCTCCTCCCACATCCTCCGAGCAAGTCTGAGTGCCAGCCCCATGCAGAGCGCAGAGCAGGGTCCTAGGCAGAGGCCAGGAGGCCTCCGGGGGCTGTGTGGGGTGTGTGGGATGCAGCAGGAGCCTCCGTATCCTGCCAAGAACCTGCTCCCCAAAGGCAGGGCCTCGGTGCCCAAGTGAGCCTGCCCCAAGTGTGCTGCCTCTGGTTCTCGAGGGAACGTTTCATGGTTCATGGACAGATGTCCCTTATTTTAGTAGTTATATGTTTATTTCAAAGTGTTTGAGAAAAACAATATATCTAGCATCAAATGCATGATAGAAAAATTTCTTTCTTTTTTATTTTGTGAGGAAGATTAGCCCTGAGCTAACACCTGTTGCCAATCCTCCTCTTTTTTGCTGAAGAAGATTAGCCCTGAGCTAACATCCATGCCTATCTTCCTCTATTTTATGTGGGACACTGCCACAGCATGGCTTGACAAGCAGTGTGTGGGTCGGTGCTGGGGATCCAAACCTGTGAACCCCAGGCTGCTGTAGTGGAGTGTGTGAACTTAACCACTACACCACCAGGCTGGCCCCTAGAAAAATTTCTTTTTAAAATACATTCACTGAAGTTTAAGTGACTAGACCTAAAGAAAAGCATTAAGGCAATAAATAGCACAGGTGGCATGGGGACGTGGAAAACCTGTCAAGGGGATGTGCAGATGAACAGAGTCTGGGAACCAGGCTCTAGAGCCAGAAAACGCAGGCTCTGCCATTTAGAGGCTATGGTCTTGAACGAGTTGCTTAAATTCTCTGACTTCTTCCTCCTCTCTGAAATGGACCATTGTATATATGAACACAGGGTGGCCGGTTCCTGGCAACCTGCTGGAAAGTGCTGAACGAATGCTATTTCCCCGCCTTTCCCTGCCCCTAGGAATGGAGGTATTAGCTCTTAGCATGACAGCTCTCAGTCCTGGCTGCACCTCACCACAGAGTTATTTAAATCAGAATTTCTAGAGGTGGGGCCTGGACATCAGTATTTTTTCCGAGCTCCCCAGGTGATTCTCACACGCAGCCAGGGTGCAGATCACTGAATTAGAGAGTCCTCTACCAAATGTAATTGTCTGTAGATGCTCTCCTATCAACTATCATGTCAAGGCATCCAGGTGAACAGCATTGCAGAAAAAAAAAATCAAGCTGGGATCTACTCACCTTCAGTCTTCTCAACTTCTTTAAACCTCTGGATAAATTTCAGCTTCCTTTCCTTGGTCTGGGCACCCATGGGCTTCGAAAGATCTCGGAAAGTCTTGGGATTCACCAAGTTCAACGTCTAGAAGGCAGATGTGCAGCTGGAGTTAACTCCCGCAGACCCTCGTGTGCCCCAGCGAGACTTCGGGAGCCACGCTCTTTAGTTTTATGGTTCTCTTTATTGGTTTATTGTCGTTTGGTCTGACCCCCCTCTGGTGATTAGCAGGCAAGCTGGGGTTTTATGGCCCCGGAGCCAGTGATCCACAAAGACTTAATAGGGGAGAGATGGAAAATACGAGGAGGGAAAGATTGAGTTCACAATGAACCTGCTCCACATTGACCCAAATCAGAACCTCGCCACCAGCTACCGAAAAGAGACTTTCAAAAGAATTCCTGTTGTCCATGAGGCACTTGGCTCCTGCCCTCACTGAGCACTTTGCTTCTTAGTTCAGGGTCTTTGCTTAGAATCAAAGTGATTTTCTAGGAAGTTAGAAGTCATCTGTTTGGGGAGGAACAGCCTCATTTTTCTGGAGGCCCACTCCCTTCTGGGCAGCAGAAGCATGTCATGTCGCCCGTGCCTGCCCGGGGGAATGCACAACAGTGGAGACCTGAAGACTTTTCAGGGCCAGGTGTCCTCGGAGAGGTTTTCGTTTAGCAGAGCTGTTCCTGGGGTTTACGTGTCTTTATAGAGGAGGTGTCTTTATACCCCCCTTCCCTTTCACGAGCAGGGAGCCACCACAGTCCCCTGGGGAGGCGGGGCCTGTCACGACCTCACACCTGCAGAAGCCAGGTGGGGGCAAGAGTGAGGCAGACACTCCTGAGACCCCACTGGTGACAGCACACATGGAAACTCACACTCAGCTACAGCTCGTTCTGCCAGGGCAGAATGGAGCTTCAGAGTTGCCTATCTCCTGATTCCCCAAAAGGTATTGGAAATTCGGACTTTTAGGAGAAATCTCCCAATTTTTAAACACTGAGAAGTAATCAAAATTTTCAATACAGGGTATGGGCTAAACAAAAGGAGCTGGTAAACCACTGCTTTGCAACATGTGAGTTTAAGCCGGGATTTGCAAGTTTCGTTTTTGAAATACCTCAGCCTCAGATGATCACTAGTGCAGTAAGAAGCGACATGTGGCTGGTGAGAGAAGGTTTGCTGTGTAAGTGTTTTCAGTGAGGAGGGGAGGTCACAAAAGACAGAGGCCCCCCTCCTGAATCCTGGCGGCCAGCCATGCAAACAGCCCAAGGCAGGACCGGCCAGGGCTGGTCTGAACAAGGACTCAGCCACCTTCTGCCCTTTACACACAGCCCAACACACCTCCTGCTGGCCAGAGCCCAGGGGGTCAGGACATTGCTCCACAGCCTGGTTCTCTCCCCATGACGTCACCTGGGTCCAGCTGTGTCAGCTTTCCTCCTCCTCCCTCTCCTGCCTGCTGAGGTCCAGGGACAGAAGCCAAAAAAATGAATACTCTGCTCTTGCCATCAGCTTCCCTTATGGCTACATGTTTCAGTCCAGATCCTGGGTGAAATCCGCATACCATCACCTCAGTTACTGAAGCCAGGTTACAGGGGAGTGGTTCATTTTCTCTAGGTCTCCGTGTCTCTCTCCGTCTCTACTTTCCTCTCTCTCTCTCTACATGTTGATTCTAGGAAGAAATTCCATGGCCCATCTCACTTGATAGACGAGTGTGGGTCCATGGCAGTATCCCAGCAGATGGGTATCACTTGCCTTCATTGTAGCGAGTAAGCCGGAAGCCCTCTGGGGCTCATGTTAGCTACTGTCCTGGTCACGTAGGTTATCTCACAGGTGTGCTGCCTTCCCACAGGTGAGGCTGAGACAGGAACCCAGCCAGACTCCAAAGGCCTCCTCCAGGGTGAAGGGCCGAGCACGGGGCAGCCCTGGGGCCCAGGTGGACTGAACCTTGTAGCAGAGGCCCTGCATGCTGATTTAGGGTGCTCTGGTGGTCAGGGTCAGAAAGCCTCAGGACACCTGTGTATCGTCCATGGGAACACCGTACCTGTGAGGTGTAGTCGGCCAGGACCCAGGGAAACACTGGATACTGCATGTAGTCGTTGTAGGTCCTCCCGGCCAGGGTGTTGAGGTGCATGAGGTACTCAAAATTGCTGATGTCCCTTTTCTACCGGAAGAGACAAAGAGAGGATAAACCAAATGCGGACGGCATCTTCCTAAGGGCCACAGGGGTCTAACTCTCCTCGCTCCGCAGGAGACCCTCGCTGTGTAGGTGAGAGCAGACAGCATACACCTCTGCTGTTCCCCACGCACCTTGTGCCTGAGACAGGCCAACTCAGGGAGGCCACACTAATGCCAATACGAACTGAAGCAAATATAGTCAGGAAGCAAGCCAGCCAGCAAAAAAATACAGCTCAGCTGCCCTAAGCCCAGGAGGAGGCATTCTTTTGTGTTAACTGTTGGGTGTGATACCACAGCTGATCAAAAGAGCAAAAATGCTGTGAGTGAATTCACTGCTGACCCTTTTATGAGTAGGACAATAAGCTGAGGGGACTTTGCAGTCACAGAGGAAGAGGCCCTTACCAACGGGCTGAATGATCTGTCTCCTCTGGGACTTGAGGAACTTTCTTTTCCCTGTCCCTGCCTGTTGGGATAACAGGCTCTCTTAGGGCCCTCTGCCTTAAGATGTACAGTCACAGATGGAGACAGGGACTGTACTGGAAAAATTCACTTCTGGTGAATGAGCAGCCCAGTAGAGCCGTTATCTCTGATATGGGACCTGCATGCTGCGGTCTCTGCTTTCCGTGGCCTGCTCCTTGTGGAAGGATTTTGGACATGAGTGACAAGAGTTACTTTCTTGTTGCCACGTGATCTCTAGGACTGGCCCTCTCGGGGTCCCTTCCTTTCACTGAGAACCCTAGGCCAAATGTCCACTCTTTCAGACTGGGAGCCACATGTGTCTTCCCAGCACAGGAAGGAATGCTTGTGCCCCTCCTGAGTTGTGTTCATTTATACATATGTGTATACCTTCACGGATAGAGCGCATGAGTGCACATGGGGCATGTGTACATGCATATACACATGTGCACACACACATATTCATACTCACTGCCCAGCTCTGACTCCAATGCTCAAGAATAGCCTTCAATCACTGAGATCTTTTCAGGGAAATATTTGGGACATTTTGGTAAATTAAAAAGACAAGACCCCTCCTGATCCATTCACAGGCTTTCTCTCTCCATCACTGAGGCCTGAGCTATTTTCCAATTTGTGTTTCCAGAGGGTTTCCTCAGACCCAGAGTCCTCTGAGAGGGTCACTGTACCTGCCACCTCTGCAGCATGGTCCTGTCGGATCCAGGGTATCTCCTGTGGGACAGAAAGTGATGGTGGTGACCAAATATCTCAAGGCATGAACAAGGGGAGAGGGGGAACTTTCTGTGGCTTTGTGGGGCCAGGGCATCCAGGAGAGCCACAGACTTCCCTGGGCAGACAGCAGCTCTCCCAGCCAGGGCGACAAGATTACGATCCAAGCTCATCTTGTCCCACTCTGCCCTACTGGAGGTTAGGTCCTTGGAGCCACCCTTGCTTTTATGTGATGCTAGAATATGCTGCTGCCTTAAGTGTGGCCGTGGAAAAGTCCCAAGGCCGTGCAGAAGCAGGCTCGGGGGCCTCACAACCCCACACTGGAGTCCCACAGCCACATCTCGGCCTTCTTTGCCCATGTGAATATAATATATGTGAATATAATATATTATATGTGACTATAATATATTGACATGTGAATATAATATATGTATGTGGTTAAAAAAATGCAAATAATATGGAAGTCCATGAAATATAAAATAAGAGTCTCCAAATTACCGCTCCCACTCAAGAAGTATCCACAGTTAACAGTTTCCAGACAGGTTTTACCCATAGGCCTGCCTATATGCTCACATAGTATTTTTAAAAAATTGACCATTCGTGGGATCATCTTATCCACACAGATCTCCACCCTGCTTCACTGGGAACAGCACAGTGGGGACCGCTCGCGTTGCTCTCTGGCGTTCGTGTCTACAGCAGCAGGACCCCATCCATCATATGCATGGATCAGAATTGGTTGAGCCTGCCCCTGTGGTGGTCTTTGTCCTCACAAATGATGTTTCCAGGATCACCTTTGGACATCAAATATCTGGAAACTTTGCGAGTGTATCCACGAGATACTATCCACTACTACTAGGCTACAAAGTATGAGCATTTTCAAGTTTGCTACATATTGCCAAATTGTCCTCTTAAAAGGCTTACCAGTTTATGTTTCTACAAATAAAATAAAGAAATACAAATCAAACCAAAGAAATGCCATTTTTGACCAATGTAGTTAGGAAGAGTTTAGAAGTGTAACAGGCTGCAGTATTGGGGAGGGTGTGAGCAAGGGACTTTCTCCGTGTGAAACGCCCCTTCTGCTCTGCAGGGATTTGTAGCACCCAGGTCCTTGGCCTCCGTGGTGTCCCTTGGTTTCTTTTCCAGCTCTGTTTTCTTTCCTCTCTGTCTCCTTGAGACTCTCGTTCTATTCCCGAGACCAGGTCTTTGCTCAAGATGTTCCACCAAACCAAACCAAATCATGTCTCCTCTTTCCAGCTCTGCCGTCTGCCTCAGTCCTGTGCAGGCGCCCACCGACCCCACCCCCACGTGCATTCTCTGTGCACCAGGCTCCTCCAGGCCTCCGTCTGCACAAGGCCCGGATGCCCAAGTGTCCCAGCAGAGACGGTGCCTCTTCATCTCCCCATCACAGCACAGATGCCACATCATCTGTCCTAGGCTCCCAGCCCGCCTCATTCAATTCTTTCCTTGGCAGATTTTCTATAAACAGAAAGCAACTCCTAAGTTGGGATTCACCTCTTCCCCCCAATAGAGAAATCACCTATTTGGTCCATTTTATCCTGGCAGACAACAACAACGAACAGAGGCAAACCATGGACAAATTTACTGCTTTAGCTTGCAAAGGCTCAAGTGAAGATTTGGTTCTGCTCTGTCTGCGAGCCTGCCACCTATCCCAGTTCCAGAAGGCAGGCTGCTTCAAAGGCTATCACAGGGCAGAGCCCAGGCTGGAGACAATGAGGGTGACCACCTTGAAAAGGACGTGTGCTGAGCCTTCCCGAGGATGTAGACCTGAGCTACACATGCAGAGCTGGTATGGCAAAGCCTGCTGATCTTGCTACTTTATTTTAGAAGTTTGACAGTGGAGTGGGAATAGGGGAGCAAAATGTTCCTGTTAGGGTCCAGGAAATGAGAGACAGCCTCTGTCATTTTCCCTTTCAGAAAGGGTTCTAGAATTTTACCTGTGGTCTTTTGTGACATTGCCACCAGGTGGAATGGTGTGTAGAAGATAAAGGCATTTCACCATCCTATTCCTCATTTCATCGGCTCTGAGCTCCAAGGAAGATCCATCATTTCGTTACCAACAGAAAAGGGCGCCATTACCAGAAGTGCCAAGACAACTAACCAAAGGTGAGTTCTATTCACAAAACAATTGTTTTACATCATATTAATCTGAGAGCAATTACAGGACTCTTGGAATGGTCTATGTGAATTTTGTAAATATCTCGTAATTAAAGCATTTCTTTAAGAGTTGATAAATTGCATTGTTCCATCGTTATAGCGTAAATTTTAGATTAAACAAGGTGCCAGAGATGGCTCTTAGCTTTCCAAAGCCCTCCTGAGGTCTGGGGGAGGCAGCGTGGGAAAGAGCACTGGCTTTGGAGTCAACAGAACCTGGGTCCAAATCCTGCCCCCACCATTTGACTGGTCTGAACTGCTGTTACCTCCTCCTTCAAACATGGCTGACCACATCTGTCACACAGGAGTACTGTGGGGGCAAGTGTGATCATAGACCTAGAAAAGGCTAGCACAGGTGTGGGCACAGGGCTTCCTTGATGGGCATAGTTCTGGTGAATGTTGACGCTGTTCCAGATCAGGGTCAATTCTCTTCTACTCTGAGAGGAAGAAGAATGTGGTGCGAGAGTGAAGATTTGCTTCTGGTCAAGACCTGCCTGGTCTGCCAACACCTTTCTGTATGATCTTAAAATAACTGTGCCACCCCTGAATCAGATCACCTGCTCTGTCAACCCATCAGTCAACAACTGTGAGGAGCTCCTCAGGGTTTGCTGTGGAGTCTATAGGGCCAGAGTCAAGATCCTCAGGCAGCCTGGGATGGAGTTGAGAGAACGGAAGAACTCAAAGTCAGTGAGGACTAGGGAGGTCACTCTGCCTAACCTGAGGGTGGCCTAGCACGGTGGGCTCACAGAGGACATCTCATCAACCCCACACCCACCCCAAGACAAGACTCCTCTGGATGACTTCCAAAGATGGGAACACTATCTTCAGTCAGAACTTTGTGGGTGGTCAACAGCTAGACTGGCTTCAAATTCTTTCCTATTTTGAGGCGTGACTTTTATCCATGCCCCTTCATTTTTAGTCAAATCTATGTCCTTCAACCCCTAGAAGTGCTTTAGAAGCTCGAGTGCTGCTGTCTGGTGGCCTTGGGCCTTCCCTACTCCAGAACATCAGTGCCCATGGTTTGCCTCATCATCCTGCCTGACCCCTCCTGATTAACACTTCCACTCTACCCTGAGCCTGGCTCTCAGAGTCAGCCAGAGACACAGCCCAGGAACTCACATCTTCCCTAGAGAGGCTGGCAGAGCAGCCTGAGGGGGCCTTCAGAAGGTGGGTTAGCCCAGGCCAAAGGGTCTCTGCCAAGGATTCCTCGTCTGGCTGGAGGCTGGACCCTCTCAGCCCAGGGAGGGATGGTCTCTGCCCATCCTCACCTCTGGGACTAGGGGGCCAAGGGTAGTCCTTAGGCACCCAGAAAATAGCCTGGCAGACATCCAAGGAGGGCCCACAGGAAAACCAGGGCTCCTGAGCTAAAGTGAACACATTTCAAAATCCTGCTGCCTCTCCAAATTCTCCTGTGTGTTTCCTATTTACAAAACAGTTATGAGGACATGGTGAAATGCGTTAATGAGTGACTGAGAGGCGTCAGGAAAACACAAACCACAATGAGAAGAAAGTTCACTCATCCTGGCCAACTGGAAGTGCGTGTCTGCCAGTGGGTTTGGGCCGCGTCCCAGCACAGGGCAAGCGTTTGCTGGAGTCTTGCCCAGCCTTTCACTGGGTGAAGCTCCAGGATAGGGAGCACATGTGCTGAATGGTACCGGGGCAGGGGGCGGGGGTTTGGCAGTGTGGGGCATGAGCAGAGTTTTCCATGAGAAGCCAAGAAACTCGTAACAGAAACACACTCCCCTCTCTTTTTTTCCTCCTCAGAAGCAAATTTGGGTTAGCCTAGTTTTCAGATCTAGGTTACAGGTCAATAGAAATACATGAAGAGACAGATGTTCTTGCAAACCAGAGATTCCCCCTGTATTAACAGGATATCGACACTTTCTATTATAACTTCTTGACTTTCTTCATTTCTCTAACATGTAGAAATCTTGCATACAGTTCTAGACCTAATAACAACAATGTTGAATGCATTACAGATTGCAAAGACTTTCTGCCTGTTGTCTACTTTTCACAAAGACTCAATGAAATAGCCATTATCTTCATTTACAGAGGAGGAAATGGAAGCGTGGGTTGAGGGAGTGGCATGCAGAGTGGGGAAGTTCGTGCTGGCTTGCTGGAGCCACCCCAAGGCTGGGCGCAGAGCAGGTACCCACGAACGCCCCCCACTCCAGGCTGTGCAAAGCAGCTACAGGACCAAACCTTGACCCAGGGCCCTGACTCCGAACACAAGCTCTTGCCTCTGAAGGGGAAAAGAAAACAAAAGCACACAAAAAGAAACTACACAAATCTCTGTTCTGGCTGGATTAGAAGGCAGTTACCTGACAAACTAGTAATTTGTATATATTTGGAGTTAAGAAATGAGTGCTAGCAAAGATACCAAATTCTTAACTGCATCCCTATGCCATAAACAGGAAGCTGTAGATGAATTAAAAGTCTGGTTGGTTATACAGCATGAAGTTACCTCCAGATGCTGAAACTCAGTGGCTTTAATTTTTATAATGTTTCATTTATCTGCATTTTAAAATGTATTTATCTTGTATATTTTCTTCTTTACAAATATTGATTTTATGTCTGCTTATCCATGTTTTATGATTTTCATGTTATTTTCTAATTTAAATTATGTATTTTTATGAATATTCTAATTAGAAATACACTAGTAGTAGGATTTCAGGTAATTTTTAATTTTCTACTTATCTTCATTTGCTAATTATTTTAAATCCATTTATTGTCTAAATTAAATGATCTATTTATTTTAGTTTTGGATTAAACATAACAGTGGTTGTGTTCATGTATTTAAAATTTTTATAGTTAACTATATTTCTAATTTAATGATTTATTATTATTATTATTATTTTGTGTGTCTGCGTGTGAGGAAGATCAGCCCTGAGCTAACATCCATGCCAATCCTCCTGCTTTTGCTGAGGAAGACCGGCTCTGAGCTAACATCTGTGCCCGTCTTCCTTCACTTTATATGGGATGCCGCCACAGCACGGTCTGATAAGTGGTGCATTGGTGCACGCCGGGGATCTGAACCCGGGCTGCCAGCAGTAGAGTGAGCGCACTTAACCACTACACCATGGGGCTGGCCCTATAGTTTATTTTTTAATTTAAACTATTTCATTTTGCTTTTTTATACTTTCCAACATTTTTATTGCTTGGACTAATTCTGCATTTCAAATTATTTATTTGTTAATTATTTTATTTATTTCCTAATTCTATCTGGGTAGCGTGGTTTAGAATATTTATATATTTTTATTTCTATATATGCATTTTCTAATTTTTCTATGTTATTTTATTGTTTGCATAATTTTAACATTTAACTTTTTTGCCAATTTTCACAATTTCTAGGAATTTAATTTAAAGAAAAAAAAAACTGAACAGAAAGACTATAAATGCACAAATCTATTCATCACAGCCTTATTCACAACAGCACCAAATTGGAAACAACAGGAAAAGCAAAGTCCACCAGATTCAGTATTACACACTCATTCAAAATGCAGATTTTAGAAACTACAGCATTTAATGACATAATGTTAATTAAGAAAAACATGACTATATAATTGTCTGATTTTTATGACCATTATAATCACTCTGATTTAATAGTGTAAAATGAATACAAAGAGAAAACTGCAAGAAGTAATTAAATCCAAATAAATAAACAGATAAAAGATAGCCCTCTCAAGATCCAAAAGCAGAAGGAAATATTTGGACAAATTACAAAAAAGTTGAATGATGTTTCATGAGACTCAATTCTGTAGAATTAAGACATTTGTCCCTTAAGAGGCAAACCTAGCTTTTTTCCCTTCCATTATCAATGTCTGCTTCTGGCGGTCGCCATGGAAAGTGGCTCTGTCCTGGTACATAATCCTCCCAGGCACACTGCTGGGGGAAGCCAGGAGTAAAGCCCGCTGGAGAATCCCAGAGGCCAGGCCGGGGCTCCCCTCCTCCCCATGGGGAGCAAGCCAGGCCTGCGGGAAGTGTGGATGTCCTGGAGACTCTTTCAGCCACTGAGTTGTTTCACCTTGCAGGCTGGCGTCAAGATTATGCTAATTAACTCCAGGTCCCAGTCTCTTGTTGCCTGGTGACAAAGTTTCACAGCTGAGGAGAAGGAGCTGAGGCAAACAGGGTAAGTTTTTCTCTGGTGGTGGCCCTGAGTTTATCAATTTACTTTAACTTTCCCCAACAACCGCTTGAAACTCTGCTTTTTTCTCTCCTCCCTTGAGTAAGCAACTTGGGAAATGCCAGTTCTCCTGGTGCACTTTACTTACAAACCCCAGACTCGGAGCTAATTCATTATTTAGGAGAGGAAGCAGCTGGCCCTGAGCCCCAGGCAGGAAAGGCACCTAGCTGGGGACCCAGCCAGGCGTTCTTGGGTGCCTGGGCCGTGGGTGAGCTTGGGAAGGTTGGTGTGCGAGTCTGCGGGGCTTTGGAGCATGCATTATTCTCTTTCCAAAGTCTGAGTCTCCTTGAGCACTATGCTGCTCCACAAGTGGGTGGAGACTGGTGTTTAAACTGCTTCTTCACCCAACCAGTTACCCCACTAAAGAAACTGCAAAGTGGATCCCATTCACTCAGGAGGCTGGAGCCTTCCCTGTTCGGGTAACTTCAGCAGACCTCACTAGATTACTGCTAACTGTGGGGGGGTTTGGAGCACAATCTGTCTTTTGAGGAGTCTGGTGGCAAACCCTTTCCACAGGTTATCCTGAACACGGAACCCACTAATAAGTGCATAAGTCTAGGCTGGGTTGGACCTTGCAAGGACAGACTCTTCATGGAACATGTGAGAAGGCACACTTCATGTCCCTATATCCATGACAGGTATAATGGGAAAAGGTAGGCATCCCTACTTTGAGTCTTGGTGACCCTGGACAAGCTACTTGGCTTCTCTGAGCCTCAGTTGCCATATCTGTCCAGTGGAGATGAAAATCAGGTGGCTGTAAGAATTACATATAATGTCTGTAAAATGCCTGGCTAGAGTAGGTGGTCAGTATGATCCATACACACAGTCTGAAGGCAGGAACCTAATTTAAATGGGTTAAAAACTATGTAGTGGCATTGCTTTGCAAAGGGTCTAACACGCAGTAGGTTCTCAGTGCGTTTACAAACCGTATGGCTGTTATATGAACCAAGTACTGAGTACCAGCTCCCATGTGATGAAAGATTAGGAAGTGTGTACAAAGTCACACACCTAGGAAGGGACAGAGCCATGACTGGTCTTCAAGCTGGGGTGACTCACATGCCTTCTGGGCTTGAGCCTCAGTCTGGAGGGGAGAAGGGTGGTGCAGAGACAGCCACCATCCACTCTGCAGAGCACCTGAGCCCCCATCTCTAGCGACCGATTTTTAGGGCCTAGTGTATGGTGGCTCCAGCTTCCTCTTGGGCTCCAAGGCTCTCCCACTGCTGCCCCACGCTCCTTGGTTGGCAATATTAACAAGAGGTGAGGATGACTTCATGCTCCTTCCCTCCACCCATCATCTGGGTGATGGGAGAGTCAAAGCTAGGTGATATTTTCTGGTCCCCAGTACCCCTAGAACACATGCAACTGAGCCACATCTCCCTCGAAATAGGCGTGATGGGCTACCCTGCTGCAAACCCATTGCCACTTCTTAGTTGTCAAGCTCTCTGCCAGTCTCACATAATAGAACTCAAGTCAACCCCCAGAGCTGGGTCTGAGAACACGTGTGCTTTCTTTTCAGTGAGGGATGAGCCTCAAGGATAGGGCTTGACTGGACTGGGATGTAAGTTTCCACAGAATCTAGCTCAGTTTACACTGTGTCTGGAAAACACGATGAGCTTGTCAGCCCAGAGATCCAAATTTATCACAGGCCTTTGTAAAGTCAAACTTACACAGAAAAGCCAAACAGCAGTGAAGCCCACAGACAAGGGAGCCAAGCAGATGCTGGCTCTGCTTGACTAGCCTGTGACTCTGACAAGGGACGTGCTCTGGAGGCTCGTCCCTCCAGTGCTCTGGAGGCACTTTATCTGTAAAGTGGGCTGGATGGATTAAATGAGATAATGCACATGGCGAACTCAGACATAAAGGTAGCGCTCAATACAAAGAGGGAAAGTATGTAGAAAACGCCCGGAAATCTCAGCCTGCTTCTGCATTTTCTCTTGGACTTACACCTGCAATCCAGAAGAGCGTCCACAGACTCTGCTCCGCCACGTATCCTGAGTATGTACACACCCAGTACACAATACCTTCCTGTCCTGCCTGCAGCCGGCCTGTCTTCATCTACTCGCCTCCCGAGCTCTGCTGACTCCCCGTCTCTACCCAGCAGCCTGGGGAACGCTGCTAAACCTCCCCATGGCCACCTCGGGCAGGTGGGCACTGCACCTGCCGACTCCCGTCCTCCTCGTCTGCTCTCTCCTTGCTGTCCCTGTACCAGCCGCCCTTTCTCTTTCACCCCAAGCTCCCCCCGCTGTTAGGATTGTGCACTTGGTATGCCCTCGTCCTGGGGTGTTCTTCCTCAAATCCACCTGTGTGGCCTCTGCTTAGTGTTCAGATCTCTGCTCAAAGGTCACCTCAGAGAGGACTTTCCCAACCATCTCAGTCTAAATTAGCCCCCCGCTGCCGCAGTATTCTCCTCCTGACCCTGGGCATTCCCCTTCACATCAGCAGGTTTTATTTTTTGCGAAGCATTTACACCAACTGAAATGATCTTGGGTCTTTTTGCTTGTTTCGTTTTTATTGTTTGATTTGCTTTTTCCTAAAATAGGAGTTTCACAAGAAACACAACAATGTCTCTCTTGTTCACTGCGTATCTCCTGACCCGACTCTGACCTACAGAATGACTCAAATACAAATTGTTGAATAAATGAATGAATGAATGATTGAGCAAGTGAGTAGCTTGGGCTGTAGCAAGCTCTAGAAGTTAAAAGTGGACAAAAGTATAATCATATCTACAGGTTGATATTATCTTTCTTTTTCTTCTATTATTATTAACAATTTGTATTTAAAAGCTTGCAAAGACGTCATGCTTGGGAATCAGCAAAGATGGTTCCACAGGTCCTACATCTGGGATTAATGACCAGTGGGGAGTGTCCTGGGCTGCTACTCGGAGGGAAGTGATCGCTATGGCGCTGTCTGTGCGTCTGTCAGCCTTAGCTACCAACGCGAAGGCACTGACTGCAGGCGCTGGATTACCAGTCACTGAGTGCCCACTGCACACTAGTCACCACCTTATCTACTCTTCAGAAACACCTGCAATTTTCTAGCCCATTTTGCAGACCAGTAAACTGAGCTCATGATTAAAATCAGGTTGGCAGTGAAGGTGGATGGAGCCCAGTTCTGTTGCCCTCAAAGGCCCCGCAGCCCTGCTGCCCACGTGCCTGCCTTCTGTCGATGCTTGTCTACACAACAGGAAAGGAACAGACCAAACAGCTGATAGATGGGCACGACCCCTATTTGGAAAATGCGAAGAGCTGCCTTGTCCTAAAGGAAGTGCTGCTGCCTTTATTGCCCTCGTCCCCACCATTCATAGCAACTATTTGCCCAAAGTTATCAGAAAAGGGGTCTCTCTTATTGGTGATAGTGTTGAATGCTTCAGTAACAACTTCAGGTAACCCTGATAAAGCCTTGAGGAGGAAAGGGAAATCTGAATTTAGGATATATTTCTACTGAAAATATTTTAGATTAGAAGGCACAGCATTTTTGAAAGACAGGTGCCTTACACACAAGCAATGAGCCCAAAACCGTCATTTTGCACGCTTTAACCTGAAGCATCCCTTTAAAAATTAGACCATGGTCCTTCCAGTGCTTTTCACCTCTGGATGGAGAAAGTTTAGCCACTATTTAAATGAATATCCTCCCCCACATTGCACCATATTGCGGTGACCCACACATAAAAGGCTATGTGGTTTTTATATCACAGTGATCTGTGCTTGACTGAGGGTTTTCAGTGCGGTGGAGGGTTGTTGGCTCTGAGAGAATGTCTCTGGAGGGAAACAAGAACGGCTGCCCGAGGCTGCCTACCCTTCTCCCCCTCCACCACGCCTCTCAGTACAGCCAGGCTCACAGATGACGCAGGACAGCAGGGGGCTGCCTCAGACGGCTGGACTCTCCACCTCCTGCCTAACCCGTGTGGCTGCAGCTGGTGGGGATGCCTCTCAGGTGCTCCTCAACCCCCATCTGCAACTGCTTTCAGGCAAATCAGGGTTCTCAATGAACAACCGTCACCACTGCCGCCATCCCATCATCACAGCTCCCACTTACTAAGACCTCACACCCTGAGCTCTTTCTCCTCACATTGCCCCGTTTACCTGAGCAAACTGAGACTCAGAGAGGGACTATAGCCGGTCCAAGGTTACACGTTAGGAGGAAGATGGAAGCCAGGGTGTGAGCCAGGCTTGTCCACCACACCCCTCTGGCCCTCGACATACGTGGACATATGTGGTCCCTTCTTCTCTTTGTCCAGGGAATGTTTTCTCAGAGTTCCCTCTTTGACCCAAATATGCCCAATATTTAAAAATCTCTCTCTTACATACACACACACACACACACACACACACTTATTTTAAACAGGGTGGCATGAGTGACTTCACAGAATTCATGAAATCAAAAAGGAAATGGAACTGTGTGTATATGTGTGAACATGTGTGTGGACGTGTGTTTGTAACTTCCTTTCCTGATTAGAAGTAGATTTCACATTATTGCAGAGAATTTGGAAACTACATAGACATGTAAGAAAGAAAGTAAAAATAACCCAATACCATAATATCAGAGAGCATTCCTGCTAATATCTGGACATTCTTTCCTTTCATCCGTTTTCTGTAGGTGTGAGTGTGTGCATGCTCATGAGAGCACTGGGGTCATATGTACGTAGAATTTTTGGATAACATTACATCTTAAAATGTTTCATTACAGCATTTTTGGAAAACACGGTTTTTGTTTTGTTTTACTTACTGTTTAATATTTATTTAATTCTATGACTACGTAGTAATTATTTAATCAATTGTCCATTGTTAGATATTTGGGTTGTGTCCATTTGTTTTTAATATTTTAAATGGCACTGCCATAAACATATTTATACAGAAAGTTTTGTTCTCATTCCCCAAAGAGAGATTCCTAGAAGTGACATGCATGCTTCCCTGCTGGCTGGGGTCCCCGTCTCTCCCCAGGTCATT